AATATTTTAACTTACCATCTGTTATTTCTTTTAAAAACAGATATTAACATTTATAATATATAAATATGCTATATCTTATTTCTGAGTTCTAACATAAATTTTAAATTAGCTTTTTGGATGACAGCAATTAAAACGCATACTTATTCGTACTTAAAAGTATTTTTATTGAAACGAAACATTTATTGTTAAAATTATTCATATTAAAAGTATTTTTATTAAAATCATGCTATAAAAAAAGTTATGAATTCAAAATTTAAAATTTACTTAATGTGATGGATGAATTTGATGCGCATTAACGAGTTTGTTAATATCTGGCTCAAATTTACTCAAAAACAGCCGTAAATCACCGCGTTCAGTAACAAGCAACTGATTTCTCTTTTTTGTTAGCAGTGTTGCTACAGCACTAAATCCACGTTCATACAAATACGATGATGGGAATGCTATCAGAAATCGTTGAACAATCGACCATAAACTAGGGTACAGTTCCATAATTGGCTTTTACAGCCGAAATTCTTGATAGCCATTCTTGAATTTCAATTTGATTTCCTCATTTGTGGTCAATTCTAAAAGTATGTTTATTATGTATAGACTTTTTTTTAATATAATATAATATTTATATATATTTTTTTTTTTGTATTGCCCCCTAAACCCAACTCAACGTCCCCAAAATTTCTTCGGGCATCCTACCGCCCCCCTAAAGACTACCAACGCCCACAGGGGGGCGCTACGCCCACTTTGAGAAAGACTGGTCTAAACCGTATAGTGTGAAACGGGCCTAATAGTTTATATATTTATTTTTTTATTTTTTTTTTTTTTTTATCACTTTCATTCTTATCACTCCAGGAGAATCACAGATTTATAAAATATGTTATTTTATATATCTGTGAGGAAAACTATATAATACCTTTAATTTATAAAAAATTTCTTGTAATTGTTAATTAATATACAATTATTCTTTGTAGCTACATTAAAATTAATATTTACCACAGGTATATTTCTGTATAAGTTAATTGAAAAATTTAATTTTCAGTATCTCAAGATCTCATTATAATATTTAACTTTGATTTGGAAAATAATTATCTTTATTATTTTGATTAAAAGTCTAAACTTTATATTTTTACGTAAGTATAACTATTCAATCTACTATTTTATTCCGTTTTATTATATTTTTATTATTATAGGAAAATTAATTTTTTCAGAAACCTTGTTGGAAATCAAAATGTCATCTTTTCAAAATAACCATGCTAAACAGTCAACTAAATATTTAAATTTAACTGATTATGAGCGTCTTGAAAATCATGTAGAATCCGAAGGCGATATGTTAATTAAAAGTTTGGCTTTAAAACAAGTTGATAAGAATTTAACTCTTGAAAAGTAATATTTGTTTTACATTTTAATATAATATAGGTATAAAGTAGCACATAGCATAACTAGGGGGGTTGGGAGTTGTAACCCTCAAAAATATATTTTTATAAATAGAAACTCAATTTCACCTCATTTTCCCTACTGAACACATTCCAAATTTATAACAACCCAAAATAAATTCTGGTTGCATCACAGATTTTATATATTTAATTTTTTTTAAAAAAATATACTTTATTATTATCAAAACAGTATTTGATAATAATTAATTTTATATTAAAACTCATTTGTATTAAACATTTATTTTTAAATTTTAATCGTCAAAGATATATACTTTTATTTATATTTATTTAGGCATTTAAGCCAAGAACGTGAATTTCTTAGCAGCCATGAGTACATTTCCATTACTGAGTTAACTAAAGGTAAAATTACATTATCAGAGTTTTGTGCCAAAGTCAATAAAGAATCTTCAAATGAAATTAGTTCTAATACTACTCATGAACCTTCAATAAAGTTTTCTAAGTAAAATATTATTTTTTTAATCATATTTGTTCAAGTTTAAAAATAATTTTTAAAATATATATTTTATTTTTAGTGGTGTGAGTCGACATCAACGGGAATTAGCATTATGTGTTAAACCTAATAGTACCGAAACTAAACTTTTAGCATTTGCATTGTCATGTCAATCCAGCGAAAAACTTAAACCAGAATTACATCTCATTGATCATCCAATTAATAATCTTTCCCAAATACATGATGATCAATTTTCTCATTTAAATGCTTCACCACTGAAAACATCAAAAATGATAATACGAAAAAGGAGACAACTACTCGAATCGTATAAAAAACCTATTGAGGTAATTATATTTAATTGAACCAAAAGAAAGTAATGATATCATTAGGTACCTTTAAAAGGGAAATAATGGATTAGCCAATTGCTTATCAGTTTACTGTCTGTTCTAGATTATAAGTTATGCAAATAATGTATTTTGGTTATACAATGATGACTTGTTTATTTTATGGAAAAATTTTAGTAGTTAATGTGTGTCACATTGTAGATTTCAATGTTTTTTTATTATTTTTTTTTTTTTTTATTAATTTGCCTTTGTTTGGACATTACAGCAAATAATAATGTTTGAAGCATGAATTTTTACTACAAATTTTATTATTTTTAGTACTAAATATTTTAAATAATCTAAAAAACCATTAAGTTTCATACTGTAACTCTATTTTTAGTGTTAATTTAATGTTGAATATTGTATGAAATGTTATTAGTTATTTTACGTCTTATTAATATTTGAAAGTTTAATCCAAGTAAATTAAATTTTTTTAAGTTTGATGTTTAATATATCAAAGGATCAAAGAAATATGACTGATATTGAGTATTAAAATTTTTGTTTTGTATTTTCATCTTTTTTTTTTTTTTTTTTTGTGTAAGAATGTTGTATAACCTTTATAATTAATTTTCATGTCAGATAAATGAAAAACCAATAAAGAATTATATCAGACCAAAATCTCTTTGGGATGTAAAGGAAGACTTAATGACTTCAAGCTTAAAAATGTATACATGTGAAGCTTCTAAATATAAAGAGCAGTGTATTGGTGTAATAGATATTAAAAATGAAGAAGAAAAAATATTACATAACTCTTCAAACTCTATTGATGGTCAACGGTTTGTGGCTCGTGGCACTAATGTTCCAATAAATAATTATTTGAAAATGAATGAAGATCAACTGAAAAGTTTCCCATATTTTCAAAACTACCAAAAAGGAATTCCTTCAAAAGTTAATATTCACAATGCTTTACAAAATAATTTATATTTAAATGATAATTGTATATTTTATTTCTTTAGATATTATATGTAAAAAATATTGCTAAAAATGTTTGTGAAAAGCATTTAATATCTATATTTGGAAAGTACAGAAAATTACAAAATACTGATATAGTTTATAGATATATGAAACGTGGAAGAATGAAGGGTCAAGCTTTTATTGAATTTGAAAGTAGTTATTAAATATTTAGATATTTAATAATTTAATATATTTAAATATTATTATTTATAAAAAAAAAATATTAATGTTTATGTTTAGAAATTGAAGTAGCAGAAAAAGCATTAAAAGAAAATCTTGGACTTGTACTCGAAGAAAAGCCATTAATAATTCAATTTGGGAAAAAATAATTATCATCAAATGATAACTAAAATGTTTAATCTATTTCTAAATAAGTAATGAATTAAAAATATTTGTTACCTATTGTTTTCTGTTACCATTTTATTAATAAATTTACTATAATGCAATTTTTTTTTTAAAGTTATTTATTATGCTTAAGTTTGGTTTATTATGAGCTCCTTAAAACTGGTGTATATTAAATACTTTATTGATATCTGACTAAATAACCGATATCAATTTTAAATTACCCTTACTATAAATTTGCAATTGATATCTTGATTTTTTATAAATATGGAATTGATATTGTATAATGTACTTCAGATGTGAAATAATAATTAATTTTTCCCCTTAATGCCCCCTGAAAATTAAAAATGCTCTTAGAAAAGTTGTTGCATCTGTTCAAATAATCAATGAAAAAGATTAAATAATAGAATTAGCGAATAATATTATATTGAAAACAATTTTTTAATGTCAATTATCTTTTAATTAATGAGTTTTAATAATTGTATGTGTGAAATTTATTTATTTTCTTATAGTTACAACTTCTTGGCTATTAGAAAACAAAAATGATTCAGTAATTTAAATAATTAGGATTGAAGATATGATTTAATTTAATTTACGTGTGATGGATTATGATTAAATACATCTTTAAATGAATTGTATACTATGATATTATAATTACCTAAATAGAATAAGTACTTTTTTCCTTGTATTTTTTAAAATTAAAGCTATTATACTAAAATAAGTGCAATAAGTGGTTTAAAACATCTTCAAAAGTTAAATTATATTTAGTGTAATGTAATACTTTAATTATAATGCATTACGTAGAAAATCTACTAAAATTTGTATAAAAATATTGAATAGATGATCTGTAGTAAGAATTTCCAAACTTCTGCCTTGTTGGTGGTAATTTGGTATGATTTCAAACTTTTGAATACATCTCCTAAAAATGTGATTAAAAAAATTAATTAATTATTTAAAATTTAAATTTTAAACAGTAAATAAATATTTTATAATATTTATTATTTATCTTATGTAAAACAAAGATAGAAAATACAGGTTTGAAATAAATTTTATTAACTATCTATATTGAAATTCAAAGTAATAATGTACATATATTCTAATAATAAAATAATTGAAATATTGACCATTTTATAAGTAACACAACTGAAGTATACACTGCACATGAGTAACAAGTTATTGTTTAATATTACACCTTATGAAATTATTAAAAAATAATTCTTATGTCTAAAATTTAATCAATGCAAAATTATTTTTACATGCTAAAATATGTATAATATATATGTATAATAAATAAATAATTGTTATTGTTTCATTTTTATAATGATTTATATGAACCATTTATAATTTGTTTAAAACCTAAGAGGACGTCACACCCGCATGTGTTGTCTCCGTCTGACATACGTACAACATAGCAAATTTGCGATCAGTGATTCAAATGCAGTGAAATTAGCTTTAATATTAAAGTTAACTGACCTATAATCAAACTTTAAGGGAACAACATTATCTGTGTTTTGTTGGTCGATTTATTCCGTTATTTAAATTTTTTAGCAAGTTATTATATTTTTTTAATTGTTAAATTTTACATACTCATAACACGCTTAAAAATTAAAATATAGGAAAAACCCGATCAAAAAAACCGCAGATAATATATTCTTCCTTTAAATTTTGATTATAGGTTAGTTTACTCTAATATCAAAGCTAACTTCACTACATTTGAATCACTGAACGCAAATTTGGTATGTTGTAGGTATGTTTGTCAGACGCAGACAACACATGCGGGTGTGACGTCCTCTTAGGTTTTAAACAAATTATAAATGGTTCATATAAATCATTATTAACATTGTTTCAACTATCAAACAACTAACATTGTTTGTTATTATTTATGTTAAAATATGAAGTTTTATTGTTAGGAAATTTTAAGAAATCATACTGCCAAATTAGGTACCTACCTACCTATATTTTATATGTGGTTTAAGATAGGATATTTCTATTATAGTTATAAATTTAAGTTAAGAATGAAGGTATGGTTATTAGAAGATTTCTTCATATTTCAAATATTTGTATTTGGTTAATTTTGAACTAAGTAAATTTTTTCTACAATATGGTTATTTTATATAATTTTAAGAAATAAACTTAGTAAATGTATTGTATCATAACATAATTCGTTTTATTTTATGGCCTAAACTGTTTTCTTGGTACATTAAAGTATACTTTTCTAAAAACAGTAGATTCTAAATATTATTTTCAATTAGGTAACGAATGCTATGATATATCCTTTACGCGTTGATATGTTATAACCGAAAGTTGATATACCTTTGGGAAATTTGCTCTGATATTATTGAAAAGAGAACATTATTTTTTTAATCATAAACCAACATATTTGTAACAAAAAATCATTAAATTATATTGTTTTGAATTAACAATAGATTAACTGCATAAGTTGTAATTCTTTTATTTAATTTGCATTCGTGATTTAATACTACTTTTATACTAGCTTTACTTTAGAAAAATACATTTTAGAACATGATTTATTTTTATTATTGCTATTGTATGTATTGATATTTTATGAATAAAAAAATTGTGACACTTATAAGAACATTTTTGAAACACTTATCCAACATTTCAATTAGAAAATAATGTATTATTCGATTTAGTGAATCCAGGGCCGGATTTAGAGGGGGCTACAACTATTTGGCTACAACTACCCCGGGCGCCAGTTTTTCGAGGCCGCTAAAATTTTGTGGTCGGAAATTCGTTCATTTGTGAACTATTGAACTTTTAAAATTATTTTGAAATTATTATTTTTTTTGTTTCTTATAATAGTATCATAAATTAATGTTAATGTATTTAATTTAATAATATATATTATAATTAATATAATATTATATAATATAATTAATATATATATTATTTATGTATTTATAGCAATATAACTATCAGCGATCCAGAATATTATTAATATACCTATTATTAGTTTCCAAATTTATTGTGATAATGTCAATAAACATAAATTATTTATAATAATACGGCGTATTATGGTATCGCGTGCGGTGGCATGCCTACTACACAAAAATAGCATTGATTTTAGAATATTTAAAATGTTCATGAAGATCTATCTCCTATATTTTCTGTGGGCAAGCCCCTTAGAAGGATGCCAATTTTTTTTTTTTTGCGTCGAGGCACAAAATGTCTTGATACAGCACTGAGTGAATCTATAATAAAATCTAATTAATTAAATTAAAACTTATTACCAGGGCTGAATCAAGGCTCCCCGGCTATATCCCCAGGCAGCAAGTTGAAAGGGACCACAATAAGTTGCCAATTTTTTTTCATATAAAATGGCATCAAATAAATATGTTAAAAAAATAAAATTTTATTATAATTTTCATCAACATACAAATCAACTAAACTGATTTTAATTAATATTTATTACAAATAATTAAATCTGAAAAAAAAAAATGGAAATCTTTTTTGTAAAAGGGTCTCAATAAAAGTAATAGCCCCCTCATTTTATGACCATGATCCGGCCCTTTTATTACCTATAATAATTAGCTTTTAAAAAGAGTATGCATGTAATTACTTTCAAGTTCCAAAGGTGAGCAAGTTAATAAAAATAACTCGAGTTCAATTAAGTTAAGAGAACATAAGATCGATAAGTTAAAAGTTAATAAGGAAAAAATGACACAGTTTAAAAAAAGTTAATCTACTTTTTTTAATTAGTATGTAGATCTTATAAAAAATAATTGTGTTCTTTAGAAAAATCTGATTTCCTAAATTATAATAAACAATTACCTATATTGAATTTTATGATCATAATACACAGCAGTGGTACCGAAGTATTTGAAAAATACTATGACGTTGTATAATAAGGGGCTACTCACTACTATGTTTATTTATCTTTATAGTTAAAATTCTTTGTACATAACATTCTGTATCTACGGATAGAACTCAATACCCAAAGGTGGGACCCTAACTTAAAAAATCTAATATGACATCTGATGTACAGTGTTTGCGACCATTTTACTATACATGATTTTTTCAATTTTTATATAAATATTTACGTATAAACGAAAAATTTCAAAATTTTTAAATTTGATAGATCATTTTTAAATCAACTGTAAAAAGTTAAGTTATTTCAAATGCCAATTAAACTAGTTATGTTAAAAAGTTAAAAAAAAATTAACTTTTTCACTTAACTTTAACTTGAGAACTAGTTAATGCCCACCTTTGACCAGTTCAAATCATAAAATAAGGGAATTATATTATTATATTAGGTTTTTTTTATGTTTTTCTTTGCGTTTATAATTTATTATGGATTTTCAACTAAATATCTACTTCTGGTTTGCCGGTATATTTCCTGGTAGTACTTATTTTTAGTTTTTTTTACTTAAAATTTGTTAACTTTTTTTTTTTACTTTGTACATTTGGATCCAGAATAATATTGGCTGTTTGTTTGATAAATGGTGACATAAATTATATTCATTATGTTCAGCCTAATAAAATATGTACCTACACATATTAGCATCGTTTAAAAACTTAAGAAGTCAGCAGCCAAAGCATGTACACCTACTGCTTTATATGCTTCATTATACTCTCAATAATTTGTATTCATTGTGTATCTACATATTATTCAGTGTGGCTGATGTGAATAAACGAAATACCATCACATAATAGATCTAATTAATTTGTTCTGTGGTATGATACATGAAAGTAAATAATTATATTACTAATAATCATTAGTAAAATGATAACTTATAATTGATGGAATCGATCTGCAAAGTTGCATAACTTGTAAGTAAATACATTTATAACAATAAATTATTCTCAATAAATAGATATTTAGAATTACTTGCAGTGTTAATTTTGGAAGTTAATAAGGGAAAAACTATAAATCATAAGAAATTCCAAATACATTACAAGATTACCTTTATCTAGTATTCAAGTATAATTAGTACACATTTTCCCCGCCAATTAGGGATTAACACTAAATCGAAATTATAATTTTAGTGATCCTTAATTATCCATTTGTGTATTATAACTAACTTATCTTACCTAAATAGACATTCTTCTTTGAAGCACATGACTTTAACAATATTAAAAAATATGACGCCCAAAGTATGAGCAGTAGATGTATTGACTTCATTCAAACATTGCTGAAACTTTCTATCGCACTCACAGTGAGATCTGCAATTTTTTTTTTTTTTTATTTTAATTTAACTAAATAATTTTTTGTAATAATGAACACATAAAATGTTATATAGCTATCAATTTTATGGGGTAAAATGCCATAATCATATTTTTCACAAGACCCAAGTACTCGTAAAATAATTTACCTAGTGTACGGAGAAGTGTTACAAATATTAAAGTAGCATTGACCAGTTACTAAAGTTCTAGTGCAATGATCATGTTCTCGGCAACAAATATCTTCTTCGCGATAAACACCTAAGTCTGAATAATTGTTGGCAATATTACCAGGTCCACACCATTTTGTGCCTATTGAAATTAACAGAACATGTGATTACCGATTTAATACATTTTATAATTATTATTATTTTTACCTGGATACATAAAATCAATGTTTTGACATGGACCCCTTTGTGTGCCTCGGCATATTTTATATAATAACTCTATTGATTCAACATACTTTGATTCGAACACCAACAATGGATTATTTTCCAACAATATTTGTATTTCATTCCTATAACCAATAATTATAATACGTAGTATTATAAATAATAAATCTACAAGAAAAAACGGACCAAACCAAATCTAGATTATATATTTTATAATTTATGTTGTACAATATACTGGTATAGTAAATATAAATCCATACAATTATCTAATTTATTGATGAGTTAATTAAATTGAAAGAGTAGTAAAATTAAAAGTTGATGTTAAATGTTTAATTCTTCGGCGGAAACTATAGACCCATATATCCGATAAGATTCGTATTTTTTTTTAGTATTGTCTTATTAATTAGACGAATCGTAGAAGTGCTCGATGGGCAATTTTGTTATTATTTAGGTAGCAACAGTTTCAAATATGAATAGGTAAGTACTAAAAATATTGAAAAATATATGAACCTTTCCTCTAGGTTCAGTTAAAAGAAACAGTTTTAAAAAATTGACATTTTTAAATTAAAGTTTGAAAATCATGCTTATAATCAGTGGCGTAACTGAGAAGGGTAATTGGTGGATCGTCCCCTCTAGGAATTTTTTACTGGTGATGTTTTAATTACAGTTAAAGCATATAGCCTATAGCTTATAGAATAATATAGTATTTATAAACGTGATATTTCTAAATCACATCCCCCTATCTTTAATTTAACTCCAACTATGCTACTGCGTATAATTATTTATCTTATACTATACTATTGTATGTGGTTATATAATATTTATAACATTGCATTTGTATTATTATAAACTATTCTTATTTCATTATAAATTGTGTAGGAAATTAACTTGAAAAAAAGTGGTTAGTATTTATAAATATATAATACTTCACAACTTTAGTGAATATTGTTAAACGCAACTGTCATGCATAAAATACTAAGAATTGAGTCATTGTACAGTAATTATACACATGGTTGTGTACTTCATGACAGATACGTCTTCCTTAAGGCTAGTTGCAGACAGAATATTAATTTACAAATTTACAATATCTGTTTGTGTGGTCGGATTTAATGGTAAAGAAGTCATAACTATATTATATTTTGAATTTAATATTGGAACAATTATTAAATATCATTGATGTTATTGCTATGAAAATTTTGCTTAAAAGTTTTTAAAATTTTTGTACATATTTTAATACTTGTTTTTGCAGCAGAGATATCAATTTTTATCAGACATATAGTTTTATCAATACATATATTAACAATAACTTACCATATAATGTAATCTAGTTATTTTTCTTAGTATTTCAATTATTTCACTGTGTTAAAATCTACAGCATTAAAAAATAATTATCATAATTTAATCATATACTTAGTATAAGAAATTTTAATTATAAAAAAAATAATATATTTTAAGTCAGCAAGTTTCTCATGTCTAATATGAATTCGAATTATTTCAGCGATTATTTGTATTATATGACTTGAAAAATGTATAAATATAATATTATATGTATATATAAGTATAAATAAATTAGACTGTTTTTCTTAAATAATTAGTGGTAAGAAAAAAATATGTATACAATTCTCAAATTCTTTATTTTTGTTTATGTAATTATTCTTATTTTTTCTTGACATCAAATCTAACATTAACCATAAAAAGCTTTTTAAATTCATCTTAATTGATGAAAATAAAATATAACAAACTATTGGTGGGTCTAATTATTTAAATGTAGTATTATCGCTATTTGAATGTTTATTTTTTGTACAATATTGTTTTTGTATAAAATAATGATATTACTTGTTAAGAACTCTTAAATATGTATAGTAATTGAACTTAAAATAATAATTATTATTTAATTTCTTATACCTATGTACTATATGAACAAGAAAACAACATCACAATCAATTATTCATATTATCAATAATTATTGAATTCTGTGAAAGTGAATTCAACATTCAATGTACTGTACATGAGTTGTAGATTTAAATAAACAAAATTACGTAGTTAATAAATATTATGTTAGTTTTTACGTACCACCTATATCTACAGCTAAATATTTTACAATTGTTAATTAGTCTGTTATGATTTTAGCGTTGCCGATTCATATAATAGATAAACTGATAGTCTATTGACTTATGTGCAACGAAACAAACGACATAGGAAGTGTTTTTGCATTTAAAATATTAAAATAAAACCTAGTATAAGAAATATCATAACATTGAATATGATATAATAAATAAAGAACAAATATTTGTAACTTTAAATTTTAAATTAAGAGTATTACACCCAAAGGTAAATCGTTAATTTTACTTGTTGTTGGTCAGTAAAAATCCTTGGATCCAGTTATTGTTTTTACAATTTTTGTAAATTTATCTATACTTTTTTCTCCCTCTCTAACAGAGAATTACATTGTTCTTGTTCATCACGATCAAATCTAATGAAAATGCATATCTTGTCCTCGTAAAATAGTTTCACCTGATGAGGTACTATTATATTCTTGGTCAACAAACTATTAATATGAATTAGTGATTACTCGTTCGTAGTTTACCGGATATGGGATTGCAGTGTTTCCGACTAGGAAATACATGTATTCTTATAACTATATGTGTTTGATTATGTTATTAATATTTTCTTGATAACAGTGGCAACTTTTTAAAGATTGACAAAAAAAAAAACATTATAAGAAGATATTTTATTTTTGGTCAGTAAGTTTTTCTTGTAACAAATTTATTTTCCTTACTTTTTGATAAACTTAGACTGGACTTTTTTTAACTATTATTTTAATTTTAATAGAATAAAATTGTTTCTGTTTACATTTTTTTTTAATCTCTCTTTATTAGTGAAATATTCTTGCCTCCATATTAAAATGTTAATGATTTAATAATGTTTTATATATACTATACAATTTAAAAATAATATTTTACCTGTTATGATGAATCCGACAAATTGGAAAGTTGTGTGTAATTTCCAATGCTTTTTTTCGTAATTTGTCAACTATAATCAACGTCCCATAGTTGGGTGACGTTACGAAAAACAACAATATAGCAATACACGTAATCTACAACATTTAATATTGAATACAAAATATTATTGTGAAAAATCGTATAGCCACAAAAATTATTGGTATGGATACTTGAAATTTACATAAGTACATTATTTATAAGTTACAGATTAAATATTATAAATAACTACCTTGTCATACTGCCTAATGCTTTACTATAATAATTGTCATTAAATGGTAAACGTAATCAAATATTAAAAAATGGATACATAGATTTATTTAATTTTTCAGTTAATATGTTAACTATAGATTTTTTATTTTTACTTTTGTAATTTTAAACAATTTATTGTTAGTACACTTTATTATAACGATTGGTTTATTTTATCTATTCTCTATAATAGTTTAACTTAAAGATTATTCAATAAGAAGTGATCAATTATATATGCGATTCCTTTCTTTAGGTAGCAATTTCTTAACATATGTGAATTATCATTTGAATAAAATATACTTATAATATTAATACAATTTACTAAATTTTTGTCTATAGTTGAAAATTATATTATGTTTATATTATGTATATTTTAATAATTTATACATAAAATTATAAATATTACATTATATAGTAGGTAATTATATATATATAAATATATATCTGAATTAATCTTATTATGAATTCAACTAATTTTTAGTATAAGATAAATTTTACAATACTTACAAAATTAATTAATTATGCTTTTAATAATTAAAAACTAAAAAATTCAAATCTTACCTTCATAACTCCAAAAAGTGCATTTGTGTTTTTGTCATATTTTTACCGGAAAATAAATTTTTTTTGAAAGCAAAATTTTGATCTGTATAAAATATTATTCTGAAGACAGAAAATTCATATAAACATAACTTTTCAAATTTAATGTAAACTCCGAATGAAAAAAAAATGTAACAATAATCTTCTACACTCCTTGTATATAAACCAAAAATGTAGCTTAGTAACATAATTTAACCCTCTATATACATAGTCAGTTCATGGTGCACATCGAGATTTCCGTACACGGTACTCTCGCAATACCTACACTAAACTGCTCATTGCTTGAAGTGTTTGTTGACCTCTTGCTGTGGTTTGTTGTGTACAAAATTCAAGGATGCAAAGAAGCACCTCCCTCCGGTTTTTGGCCTTAGCACAAAGTCCTGCAGTGGTCATAATGCGTTATACTATTTGTTGTCTATTCAATTATATGACATTAACACTGAGAAATAATGTCTTATTATGTTATTCGTAACTGTGACAAATCTATGTTATAGAGTCGTTTGTTTAACGAATTTGGTTCATTTGGAGTACACATTTTCATCGTATTTATTATAGTTAACAACCTTGTAGCCACAGGGTTTTATTAATTTATGCCTATATCTATTAACTATCCGTCTACGACCGTGCACTTCACAATTATTTTGACTATTCAATTGTACACCAGTGTAGTATCGTTCGTTGACCTTCATTCCACACGTGTCAATTTAAAAATTCTTTATAATGTTTAACTGAACAACATACTTACTAAACATCTGTTATAACTTAAAACAATACATTTTTCATTGATTATGTATTGAAATATTTAATCACATACTTTATATCGCAATACATTTACAATTTACATTACATACGTAATTCAATTGAAATATTATTTCTTATTTTTATAATATTTTGTAGATATTATTGATGTATACTATATATTTATATCTCAATAATATCTACAGAATACTATACAAAAATAAGAAATAATATTTGGATTGAATTACCTATGTATAGTAAATTATAAATATATTGCGATATATGTATATATTATATACATATAGTTAGATAAATTAATTTTTACTTTCATTAATTTGCATGAAAATTTATATTTTTATGCCATTTGTGGGTAATTTCAAATCTAGATTATAAGTACGTTTTTTTCATTGACCATTACCGTGCAGATAACGGCATAAGTAAATTTAGAATCGACATTTTAGAAAACTGAAATTCACCTATTTAATATCATTTTTTTCCTATTTTAACTAATAAATTATTTGGATACAGTCCATATGATTATTGGTTAATCCGATTTTATACTTCCAACAAGCGTTCTTTCTATAAAATAAAATAAAACATTAATCAAACTTAGATAAATATTCAAATTGAAAATTGTAAATTTGTAAACATATTTTAAGTAGATTAGCTATTTTTATAGTAATGACTAGTCTTATATTACCTATTTATTTTCTTTTAAAAAATGTAATAATATATATTAGTAGGTACAATATTATTTTAACATAGTTAGGGAATAAAAAATGTATCAACTACTATTATTTATCTATCATTAATATAATATTTTGAATCTTGCCAAACAAGTTGATGATTCAAAAATATTATGTAGTATAGGTACGTAGTCTACTCATATGATAAACTTAATATGCACATCAGTAATTCTGAATTTAATATAAATTAAATAATACGGTATTTAATGTATGTATCTAAAATAATTTAAATAATTTGATGCTTTAGTTTTAATCTAAACAGGTTTACTAACATTATTTACATATATTCTGTTCTAAGAAAAAATACCATATTTTAACTGTTCTGTATAATATATCAATAGATATTGTACGACTCATTATTATGGTTAGTCATAAATACGTATGAAACGGGATTTTTATTTTTTTTTTTCCATATTATTAAATAAGATTGTTTGTAATTGTATTTTGATTCATTCATAAAAATACAAATTAAAATCGTGTAATTATATGCCTTTAATTAATAACTTCGAAGGATTTGATTTTTTTTTTCACCATAAGTAGTGAATTTTTTTTTATGGTTAAAATCATAATGAGTTTATACTAGTTCTATAATTCTATATTGAGCTATTAATATATAACAATTTGTAATATACTTACATTGACATTAACATATGAAAACCAAGAAAAATGTTGATAAAATTAAAATTTTATCAATTTCCTTGAGGTTAACAATCGACAGATTCTATGAAATTCTATTAAAATAATAATAAGTCAATGAGTCCTAAAAAGTTTATTTGTTTTAAAGTGAAGAATATGATATTTATATTTAAAATCATAAATAAATGTTCATTTTTTTGATTTTTTTTGTATACTGAATATTGTAGTTATTCATTTTCATAAAAAAAAATAAAAAAAATCAGTTCTATACGAACTGTCAAGATGTAATGATCGAAAATCAAATTCTACTAAAAATGTCCAATTATCCAATCAATATAATTTAACAATCATGGGATAGTTATAAAATACATTTAAAACATAACTACAGCTAAAATTCCTCAAGAATGGTGTTCTGACTAATGAAAACACTGAAATCCTTCATTTAAGGTTACTAAGAAATTTGTGTGAAATGTGTAAGATGCGTATAAATACAATTTTTCAATGAGATTTTAAAACATTCATTTGAAATGCAATTAAGTCCTAAATTCATTGTTACAGCAAAATGACCGTGAATAATATTGATTTAGTTATTAAAATTTACATAAAAACAGAAATATATATTATATTAAAACAGTCATTGATTTTAGTACCTTAAAATTAATTATTATTATTTATCCTCAATACATTTTATTTAGAGAAGCTGTTTTCAAGTAAATTAAATTACAAAATATTTTATAGTTTTGTAAAAGAATACATTGCTATAACTTCGTCTATGATAAAGTGAAGATGTAAAATTAGAAATTAATCAAAGATTTCTAATTTGATATAAACAAATTATTTAAGTGCTTTTTACTCGTCGTTTTGATTTGAAAAAATAATTTTTTATGTTCCTTTATTTTGTTAAAAACTACTCGTGACTAGACAGTTATAATTTAGAATCAGTAAAAACTATAAACTAATTGTATAATTTCATATAGTATATTGTAACTACAGAAAATAATATAAAATAATGTGTCGTTATTGCCCGTGCAAGAATTATTTTACATAATATGTATAATGCAATCTAAATCCTGTTTACTATTAATAGGAACTCTAGGAATGATTGTCTACTTAAGTAATAAATGTAATCATAAAATACTTGAGTTTATTTTACTTTAAATTAAAAAGAACAAATTGATTTTTAACTATTAATGTCCTTCAGAATAGTTTATACTTAATTTACTTATAATTATGCAATACACAAAAGCAATGTTGGAAATCCAAAGTAAAATAAATATGATATTTTATTTGAGTTTGAATAAAACCTGTAATTTACACTATGTGAACATACAAAAGTTAGTTTAGTAGTTTAGTTGTTTGGAAATAATTAATTCTTAAAAATAATTTTGTACCTAACAAATTGATCACAATAAATTCGGTTTTAATTTAGCTAGCTTATTTACTATACGATAATAATACTTATTTGTAATGTGTGTCTGCGCAGCAAAGTAATCTGATGAAGACATTATAAGCTTACGTTTATAAGCTTATGTTTAAAACAATTAGTAAATAATTTTTTTAGAATCCTTTTTTATAAAAAAAAAAAATTGATCAATGCATCTGATTTATTTCATAATATATTTAATTTTAATAAATTCATTATTAGAAAAAAAATATGGATATTTATTTTGAATCTTAATCATCACGCTTCGTCGTAGGTTGTTGACCATGAATCACGGTTCGTCATTATTTCATTCCGTAATTCTATTATTATTCAAGAAATTCTGCTCCGTTTTTTATCATTCAAAAACGTAATTATTGTTAAAGGCCGGTTTACACGCAACGACTTATTATACGTTTTATCGAATACGGCTAATCGTATCAAGTAAAAAGGAGCGTGTATACAGTAAATCGTACGTCTTATCGAATCGGAATGAAATCCAAGATTGGATCGATAGACTAATAGGCGCAGATTCATTTTACGTGAAGTTGAACGACATATCGTCACATGTAAGTACAAAATTGGTGTATAGTACAACTTTTCGTTCTTTTTGGGTTTAATTTTCTTCTTTACTTAATAGTTTTAACAACTTAATTTCATTTTTTTGTTTTTAATAATTATAATATATTATAGTAAGACCTACTATTAGTAGGTATATTAACCTATAATATTTAATAAATTATATAAAATTTGATTCGCATGGTATTTTTTGTTTTCTTACGAACATGTCTGATCTACGAAATTCTGTTGCACACGTACTAGGAACATTATGGTAAACCACAATAGTGCTTCTTCCATAACGTCAAACATCACTAAAATAACTGAACACTATTGAAGAATGAACAGAAATACAGTTGAAACTGGGATGGAAAACTGAGTAAAAGTTGGAACGTGTAAACACTTTATAAAATGTACGTCTTATTGTTCATTTTATATGTCCAGCAAAACGTGCAATAAGTCGTTGCGTGTAGACCGGGCTCAAAAGCGATCTACAACCAAATCAAGTGCAATTTAATCAACTGAAGCTGTTTCGGTCATCTAATTTGGTAATATAAAAAAAAAATTAATTACCTATATAGTAATTGAAATCGTTATCTACGGCGGACGCGCTCGGCCGTCCGTCCCGTGATCGGCTATTAATCGCGAAACATATTCAAAACCCACCATGCCTACGAATAAAACTAAAACTGTCGTATCTTCGTTAATCATTTCTAAATCACGTATGCATAGCGTGCTAAATAAATCACCAAACCAATTTTCAAATTCTGAGTCCAACGACGGCTGGATTACCCCCCTCCTGAAAAACGCCAACTGGCATCCCCATCTACTCCAAATTAAAGACAAAAACCATCAACAAAAATATTTGTTACTTAAAAATGATTTTTCCTATTTTCGGATCCGACAGACTTATCCAGAAATAATCCAGAACCCGTAAAAATTGACTAAGAACCTGAGCACATAGAAAACTCTTCTGCCCTTACCAAACCTCCATCACCTATTTTTATTCAGGTAGTTAATGATTATAAGGCCTTCTGTGATAACATAAAGCAAATCACGAAAGGAGAACCTTTTTTATGTAAAAGTTCTATCAACGGCATCAAACTGTCCACAAGTTCACCAGATTTGTATGTATCTGTCATTAAATTTCTTCAAACCAATAAAGCTGCTTATCATACTTATCAGCTAAAACAAGACAGATCCTATAGAATAGATATAAAAAATCTTCACCACTCCACTCCAATTATTAAAATAAAAAAAGGACTCTCTGCTCTCCTAACATTACTAATATTCTACATAGAAACACCAAACAACCTCTCCCGCTTTTTTTCGTCGATTTGGAGCCTGACATCAACAATAAAGATATATATAAAATTGACCACCTCTATTATACTAAGGTAAAAATTGAAGAGCCCCGAACAAACAACCAACCAATATAATGTCTCCGTTGCCAAGGCTTCGGCCATACAAAATCTTACTGTAACCACCCAAAATGTATTCGCTGTGGAGACTTTCACACCTCAGAAAACTGCGAAAAATCTCCCAACCAACCAGCTACATGCGCACTATGTAGTGGAGACCATCCGGCCAATTATAGAGGCTTCCCTGTGTTAAAAAAAATTCAAGCTGCTCACCATCTTAAGAAATCTAATCCAATACATAATAACCTGAAACAAGCATACTCTAATTTTAAACCTAATAATGTAAAATCTACTTCCAATATGAACTTCCAACCTAAAAAAATCATATGCTCAAGCTACAACAACTGATTTACCAAGCCAAGACATCTCTCTTACCACTTCTCAAAACCCTCACCGCCTAGCCAATCAAATGGTGCTATTTCTCAATAATTTCTAAGCGACCATCAATCCACTAATCTCTCTACTTACTACTCTAATAGAAAAACTAATGCTGTCCAATAGTAAATAGATAAAATAATATTCCTCACTCTATCTTAATCTTTCAATGGAACGCCAATGAATTAGAACGTCAAAAAAATGAACTTTGTGCTTTCCTCTCAACAAACTCTATTGATACAGGGTCCGGCAAAAAAATCTCCTGTATTTTTAGACGTTTATATTTAAAGCTATTTATAGATAAAACGGTATACCGGGTATAGATAGATAGAGGTCTACGTGCCATTTTCAATAATCATAATGTCATGGCATGGTGAGCAACACACGTTTGTCGTGGAGGAATCTGAATTTTTTGGAAGAAAATGGGCAAAAAGTTACAGTTAATGCGGATCGCTACTATCACATAATTGAGACCTCTCTCCGATCAAACTTAAATCAGTTTACTAGGAACGATGAAGAAGTCTGGTTCCAACAAGATGGAGTCACAGCACACAATTCACGACGTTCACTTAAAATTTTGAGATAGATGTTTCCAAGACATCTTTTCTCTTTACGAGGAGACATCACCTGGCCCCCAAAGTCCCCCGATTTATCACCTTGTGGTTTTTTTTCTTTCGGGACATTTAAAGGCCCTAGTCTACACTCATCGCCCAACATCTTTGGAATCACTTAAGGAGGCAATCACTCAGGAAGCAGCAGCTATTACACTACAAATGACTCTACGAGCAATGGAAAACTTCCGGGAAAGGCTTCGTAAGTGCATTAATAATAAAGGACAATATTAAACGGATATAATGTTTAAAACTAAGTAATTATTCTATTTAATGTAAAATGGTATAGTATTTAATTTAAACATTTTAATAAAATTGTTTATTTATTTGTAATTGCCTTTTAAAATATGGGATGTCTTTTTGTCGGACCCTGTATCTTACTCATCAGTAAAGCACACCTGACATCAAACTCCTCCTTTAACATTTCTAGCTATTCTACATATCAATATAACCATCCCGATGATTCATCCCATGTAGGTTCTGTAATACTATTTAAATCTAACATTAAACATACCATTCTACCACCATATCAAAATAACGTCATTCAGTCCACTTATATTCTGCTAACTTTAAATCATATCTCCACAACTATCTCATCGACTTACATCCGTCCCGGCGCAAAAATAAACCCTAATGATTTTGATCTCTTCTTTAATTCCCTTGGTAACCACTTCCTGGTAGGTGTGGACTTCAATGCTGAACATCCACGGTGGTGCTTTAATCAACCCAATACCAGAAGTCAAACTCTCAATAAATTTATCCTCGATCACAATCTTAAAATATTTCCCCTCCTTGCCCTACATATTGGCTCTCACATGCCAACAAATATCCTGACGTTCTGGACTTTTTTATCACTACGCTCCCCAGTCATATAAAATTCACAATTACTAATTCCTCTGACCTCTCCTCCGACCACACACACCAATAATACTCACCCTAAACGACACTCCAACTACAACAAAACACTACCCAACTATCACTCCAGACAAAACAAACTGGAAAAAATTTAGCCAAGCCATAGATAATGCCGTCACCCTCAACATCTTCCTAAAAAACCCATCTGAAATAGATACTGCGGTACATTCCTTCACAAATTTAATCCAAAATGCTGCACTTGACGCATCCCAAAATAACCCATCCACCACTTACACAAACACGGTATTACCCCCCCCCCCCCACATAACACAACTCATAATAGAAAAGCATCGTGCCCGCCGCATTTGGCAAAGAACTCACTTGCCAAGTGATAGAAGGCATCTTAATATACTCACAAACTCCTTAAAAAATATTTTCCAGAAGTACAACTCTAACAAATTTCACAACTACTTGGGATCTCTTTCTAACACTAACAATTCACTTTGGAAAGCCACTAAAAATATACTAAATGAAAAAATTAAAATACCTCCCCTGCGGTATCCTGACAACTCTCAAGGATCATCTAATCTTAACAAAGTAAACTTATTTGCATCAGATCTTGAGAATAGATTCTCACCACACTCAAATTTACCCAGTAGAAGCCACCACTCTAATATTGAAGCCTCTCTTTTAAATACTCTCCCAATGTGTCTTCTCATAAAACATACCTCTCCAATTTTTTTTTAATTACTATAAAAGTTGCAAGACTGCAAGACTCTTGCAGAATGGATCTAGTTTTGATCTTGGTTTTGCAGCAAAACCAAGACCATGACCAACTTTGCTAACAGCTTCACATTGTACTAGTATTGATACTAATATTAATTGTTAACATTGACACTGACAAATTGACAGCACTAAACCTTTTCTTATATTGAATTTCCATTTATTAATAACTTTAGTTTCATATATTGCACCCACAAAACAAATTAGTATATAATACACTCGTCTGGTTTTTATTTGAGCACACTTCAACAATGAAAATATTATACTCATTATACCAGATAAAAGGACATAAATCAGAATTTATTTTCTACTTTTTATTAAATTATTTCAGTTAAATAAAAACCTTTTTTAGTTTTATTAAAACCATGTAATATAATTTAATTCTCAAATTTAAAATAATTTTTCATAGATTTAAAATGTATTAAAACAATTCATACATACGAGTACCCGTTCTTATGTCTACCCCGACTTCTGTGGCTTTTTTTTAGTGTTATTTAGTTTTTCAAACGTCATTTTTACTTTTGAACCAAATAAGCTTCTTTCAAGAAAAAAAATTATAGCTACAAGTTATTAATAAATTATAAATGTAACAATAATAATAATAATAATAATAATAAATAATAATGCTTATTTTAATTGCATATTTTTATTTTTAAAAATAATATTAGTTTTGTCTATTTATTTATTCATATCAGTATTTTATTAATTGTATAGTTAATTTATAATTTATAAATAAATACAATTGATTTCAACAAAATTCCTGATAATATAATGACAATCAAGAGAAATTTATGCATAAATATTTACTATAGACATTGTTATCATTATTTTATAATGAAGGTTAGGTTTTTAACAAACGGCTATATAGAATCTGCTGACTATAAGTAATTTAAATTGTATTCAATATCGTTTAATATTTTTTTTATTGTTGTTAAATAATATCCAATTCTTTCTTCAATATTTACCTATGTGTAATTATTTCGAAAAAAAAATGTTAAATAGGAAACTATAGAAAATCTATGGCATTTCAATAACAACTAAGAAAAACAAGCGAGCGATTATTATTTACAAATTTACTTTTAAAACATTTCAAAAACAAATTTTTTGTTGATGAAAAGCCGAAAGACATAGGTACAAGGAACGTATATTATATGCATACTGTTGGAAGAACCACCTTCGTGATGCCTCTTGCCGTAGTGCTTAAAGAATACAAATTAACGGCAACTTCGCTTTCGACTACTGCAATTCCAGTAACACAGACTCTATTCTAAAAACTTCGTCATCACAGGTCGTTCTTTTTTGACACGTTGATGTTTCTAGATAATAGTTGTCATTGATATTTTTCATATTATACTTCCATTCTACCTATATATAATTAAATCAACACATTTATCTCTAAATTTGCATCGCAATGCATTGCATGAAATGCAATCCCAACTCAAAGGCTTCATTAATTTACCATATAACCTTGAAGAAAACAAATATACACAGTATACAAATATTTACTTACATAGAATAATTCTACCTTTCTTAATTTAATAAATTAAGAAATAAGAATACGAGAATAATATTCAACAATAAACTCCAATACAAAAAAAATTTTTTGAACACAAAAATAATTTATAAAATAATAATATATTCCACCGATCTTTTATTTTATTATATTTTTAACGATAATCACAAATATTGTCTACAGTAAATTTATAAATTAAATAAATAACTTTTTTTTTTCATTTATTATATTTAAAATGTCTCAGAACATTACAATTAATTACAATTACACTGAAATTAGTTTGTTTTTACATTTATATAAAATAATTAAAATTATAAATTGAAAAATAACTAAAATGTCTGTATTCAGTCGTTGGAAATGTATTTTTACATACATGTATAAATTTCCGAGTAATATTAACTATTTTATAATGTATGTATTATATAAATTTAAGGCATCCACTCTGCATCATTTTCGGGGACACCTCTTTTCTCCGAACTCGCCATTTTGTATAGTTTTTTGCCTCCTTCAATCACGTACTCGACGCCATCACCAATTTTCGAACCTACTTTACGCACAGTTTCGCCTATGTTCTGCGAGCTGAAAGTATTGCCATTTATTTCAACACGCATCGTTGCGTTAAGATTCGAACAGTTGTTCTGATCTACGATGGTCAGATCAAATGGATTTACGTTGCTTGATGATATGCGATTACGCACCTGCAAAATAATTTTATTATTATTATATTTATGTTCATAAACATTTAACTTTTATGAAATAAACGTGTCAGTTCATGTCATATGTTAATTTTCATTTAAATTGTTTATCACGTATTCACTATGGTATTAGTATTACGTTCTATGTTTGCCAACTAGTTCTACATAAATATTTTCATATCACTCAATACACATATATGGTGTACTTTGTTTAAGACGAAAACTATTAATCACATTTAGCCGGAAACTAATATAATCTGTGATAATAACCAACCATAGGTAGTATAGATATTTTTAATTAACATATATATATATATATCATATTGTATATATATATCATATATATAAATATCAATTGAATAAATAAACTTAATGCACTAAATAATAAAATATTTAAGAATTATGATTACTTGTAAATTATTTGATAGTTTATTGTGTTTTATTTCTAAAATTGAAATATTAAATAAACTATTTTTAATAATTTACTTTACACGTTACACATGTGATGGGTTTAATTGAAATCATGTTATACAACTAATATACAATTTAGGAACACTTATGGACTATAGTTATGGCAAGTATTTACATTTGGTATAATTACATATTATTTACATAGTATTTATTTTGGATATTATACTAACTACATTTATTTATATATATTTTTTCTAACCTTATCCACATATTGTTTATCCAAAGTTCTAGTTCTAGATAAAATTGTCACCGAATGTCTATTACCGAGAGGTATTTTTTGACAAGAGAATATACCCATATAATTTTCATAATCCGTAGAAAATACAACAAATGATGATTTACCAGCAACACCTACAAATAAAAGTATTTAATTTGAGTATTATAAATATAACTTGAAATGGAAGTACTAGTTCTAATTTTTCAAATATTTTTACTTGAAATGAAAGGGTTAAGGAAAATGAACATATAAAATACACTTTTTTTATATTTTATACTATAACACATTTATAAGATAGCTACATGTAAAAGTAATTATAATATTATGATCATTATATTTATTGAGAAAATATTATTATAATATTTATACAAGTTGTGTACTCACTCAATGGAAAATTCACTATCATTCTAGATGGCATATTAGGATCAGTCTTTAAAGTCCCAACGTAATGGTAATTGTTGGATTTAGCTACGTTAATTAGTGAATTTTCACTAACTTGATCCAATTTGTAAGTATTAGGCTCCTCTGTTTTTTCAAAATTGTATTCCACACACCGACTCGATGTTGATGTTTTTTGTATTGCGTACCATTTTCCTAAGATCTATAAAATAAATAAGTTTAGGATTGATGAATTTAGATTTTATTTGTCTTTATTTTAAAATTTCTAAACTTTAAATGTAAGACCAAGAAGAGTAATTCAATTATTGTAAAGCTAGGTTTTTATTTATAGACAGAGCAATAATGGGTACGATATTAAAAAATTCTTAAAAATGTATTATAATTTACTCTGAATATTACTATATACTTAACCCAAATATATTAAAATGCATTCATTATGTTAAATATTCGAAGTACCGACATTTTATTTTAATCAATTTCTTAAAATTAAGATCAAAAATACTCTTAAAAGTATTTAACTGTAAAATATTATATGAAGATCTTTTATAAGCAATGTTATAATTTTGACGAATTCGTCTAATAAAAATTATTTAAAATAAATTAGTATACTAATTCTTAAATTACATTTTTAGTTATTAATTAAACTCACAATTAATTTTTTTAACAACAAAAATTTTAAAATACAGAAGTATGTATTTATCGTTACATTTACGATATTTTGTCTTTTAATAACTGTAATAGTTGTCTAATTTAATTTCTTTAAGTAATTATACATTCACAAAATATTAATTTTAGGTTTAAATAAGGTTATTAATTACATTTTTATAAATCTAAATTTAACATTGGTAATCAGTAAAAATATTATATAGTTAAATCTTACGTCGTTTATCCAAAAACAATTATTGTACACATACATATTATGACTCTTTAAAATTGATTACAAACAAAATAACAATAATATTAATTATTAATATAGTTTTCATTATTTTTAATTCTTTATGTATCACTTTAATTAGCTACGGTTTGATATAATTTGTTAACGTTTCCGAAAATTGGAAAGGTCAAATATTAATTTATAATTTCAATGTCATTATTTAATTGTATTCAAATAAAATTGCAATGAAAAAACAATTATAAATGCAAATAATAAAAAAAGTTAATCTTATCAACCATAATAAGACACTTACTGAATATAAATTTAACATTCAATATTTATTTTTCACGTAATGTTATAACCGTAATTAATTAATTTATGACTCTGGATTTTGAACAAATTATTTTTTATATGATATATTTTTAATCATAAAATACGTTTTTATGAAGAAAATACTTTTTAATAAATCATAAATTTAAAAATGTGAAAACAATGTAACCCCTTTATAATCCACCTATTAGTCCACGCTCAGACTTTACATTTACAATAGTGTATGGCAAGACCACTTATTTATATATTTTATTATAAGAGAGTGAGAAAATATTTGCTTTCCATACAATCTTTTCAATGAGACTTACGGGGATAACAAAACCCATTTATGCTTTTTAATATTGTAATATACATATATATATATATATATATATATATATGGTATATATGCGTAAATAGTTATATTAAAAACTAATGCTTAAACACAGAAATATTTTTATATTAACAAAATCTTGTTAAATTATCAACGAATTATTGAAAAATAATACATTATTATTTTGACTTACCTTATTCATTGAAAAATCAGATACTGGTTCAAGAGTTGGACATTGCCCAAAATGATATGAATGACTGGTAACAAAATATTGTGATGAACTGCTAATTAGTAACACAAGAATAATTTTCAAAACCTCCATAGTAATTACTTTAAAAATAAATGATCTACAAAACAAATATAAATTTAATTACCATGTAAAATAAAGTAAAAATAATAAATAGCAAATATTATATATATTATACTAATGTATAATAATAATAATAAAAATAATATAAATAACTAATAAAAAATATGTATGATAAATTATTATGACTTATAGTTTATAGCATATGGTAAAAAATGAAAGGAATATACAAAATAATAGTTGGACGTTTTACTGCGTAGTGGTTGTTTAACCGTTCAAAGTATAAAGGTAAATAATAATAATTATAATATAGAATTTCGCAATAAAGTTAATAACTAATACGTAATAATAAAGAAGTGTGATTTTTTTTCAATTTAATTTTATCACAAAATAATTTAACTAACAGTAATTCTGGAAATATCAGACACAATAATATAAATTATTTAATAAAATATAATTTTTTAGTTTGTATATATGCTCATTATTTAATAGTACTAAAAATTAAACTATAAAATGATTTTTTTTTGAACTGCTTATTGATTAAAACATTTATTAACTATTTTATATCCCAATAATTTTATTATTACCTATAAAACATTAGAATAATGTAAAATTATATTATATTTATACATACATATCACCATAAAAAGTTGAAAAACAAATATTGTTTTGAATAGTATTATTGTGACTCACTGGAACGTTTCACACTGAACGTAAATATAATACTATAGGTCATTATAGTCGTTTTAAGAATGTACCTGATTTTATTGTACTATTTTCCTCCCACTCCATTAGTGATCTGTTTGTTGAATAGTGACTACTATATACGTAGAACCACCTTCTGAGTCATGCAACTGATTCCAGTTATTTGAATGAACAGTTAAAACTAATTTAACAAAGCATTTATGAATTTTTTATGACTCAGCATTTATTGTACTTTACATTCTAAATAAACAATTTATATCAAGTCAATTAAATAATAAACAATTTTATTTAACGGAAGTGATTCCTATTATTTTTTATTTTCGAAAAATGTATAATTATATCATAATATTTTAACAATACATTTTTATAAAAGAGTGTATTGTAAAATTAGACTGATATTCTAATAATTTAAAAAAACAAATAAAAATTTGTCATTTCTTTCAACTATTTGGAGTCGGCCACCCTTGTCCTAAACCTCCAACCATCTCGATTTTCTAAATCCCCTATATCCTCTATTTAATTGTAACTTGATTTTATATTTTATGTTATATACTGATTATGCTGTCTTTAATGTACACAACCAAAAATAATATGATAATTGATAATAATTATTAATGTAATTTTATAAAAGAATATTTTACTATAAGCTATTGTATTAATAAAATATTATTTTATAAAATTATAACATATATTTATATAAATATTATAAAATCAATTATAGTACCTTCATATGCATATTATTCTTATTATTTTATTATCTGATGGATTGATTTAATACTGGCGTATTATAATATTTCATGGATATTAAGTCCTCTTCCACGTGACTATATTACGTTATGTACCCATAATTTACCTGTATCTATTGATATGTTTAATAAACTTCACTATTTCAGAAATAATATAAATGTACGATAGTCGTATAAGCGTACATTTTATAATTATCTTAATTTCAATTTTGGATAAAATCTCATTTGAAAATGACAAAAATGTACAAACTACTAGAGCAGCTTATCTTACATCTTAAACTGAGATAATTTTTGAAGGTAATCATATAAAATATACATATAGTATAGTGAAATAATTACATATTTATTACATATACATATAAAAATTTTCTTATAAAAAATACAATATCTAACATATAAAAATGACGCATTTGACGATTTGTGTCTAATGGACTCTGAAACTATTTAACCGATTTTTATGAAATTTGATACATAGATATATTAGACCTTTCGGAAGGACATAGGCTATCTTTTGTCATATAAAAAAAAAGGGAAAAGAATCATCAGTAAATCAGATAAGACCCTAACGAGTAGTTGTTGTTTTGTTGTTGCTATAATGGGAGCGCGTATAATAGTCGAAAATATATAAGCCGATCCGTATTCTAGCCGAAAAATAAATGATCCTACCCGTTAATCATCCGAACTGTATTTGAACCGACACTTCTTAAATACACTATCTCCTACTATCTGATACCGTATTACTGATTAGGTTATAGACAAGGATATAACATGATCTAAAATGTTTTATCGCCCTTAAATCCCTCCTTACCTAGTTTCGGAAGAATTAAAATTAAGTTTTTTAATAAGTTTAAATAAAATTATAGTAGATATTTTGTATAATAACTTAAAACTTTATTACCTGATTATATAATATTGTAATAAAGTTAACTTATAAAATTGAAGATTGTTAATGCGTATTAAAAGATAAATTAAATCAGTGGCGTAACTGGGAAAAAACCTAGTGGGGGCAATATAATATATTTATTATTACCAAAATTCTGACATCCCTCCCCTCACCAGTTAAAACATATTTTTATTGTATGTATTTATACACTATATCTAATTGTTTGATTTTACATAAGTCTTTTAACTCATTTTATGGTTTAGATAAACATAAATTGTAGGTAGCAATTGTAGGTACTAGGTACCAATATTGTTAAATAATATCCATAAGAGTTCATTAATAAAAGGTGCTATTTTTACTGGGGGGGGGGCAAAATTATAACTTTATCTCTCAAAAAATTGTCAGAGGGGGCACTTGCCCCCCTTACCCCCCATAATTACGCCACTGAATTAAATAAAAATCATTTTTAGTTTGGCGCTCCGGTCTGCCATAGCTTTTGTCGGTTCTGACTAGTACCTATCTGACTATTATAACATAGAACATTAATGTTAATTATTTCATCTGTTACCAATTTTTTTTAAACTAAACTGTATAATTTATATTAATTTTAATGGACGAAATATATGTCGGCTAAAATATTTTCGGTTGAAATAATGTCGGCTATAATATTTTCAGCTATTTTAAAGCTCCTCGCTATAACAACCCAAAAAAACGAAAAGAAACCTCACCATAACATACCTCAGTGTGCACCTAGAAAATAATGAACGTGTCTATTTTACTGAAAATATTTTCCTAAAGCGACTATCTTCTCCAAAAGCGACATCGTTACTTTTTTTTTTTTGATTTCTGTACAAGAGATTAATTTGCAAGCAATTCTATATAAGTTACATACAGAGGTATGTTGACATACGGATGTATTACACTTGGAACACAACAGGAAGAAATGGAAACGCCGAATTTAAGAGAACAGATGGCGGTGGTGTTATTTTAATTCGTGACATTATTTTTACACAAGACATGCAAATTTATTTCTTGCTTTCATATGACATTATTTAGACTAACTGAAATTTTCATTCCATATTACTTTTTCCATATTCCATACTAACATGGACCACGTAAAATCAATCTAAGACACCTCCAGCTTTAATATCAGTCTAATTCTGAACAGAAGCTCCTTGAATTCGACATTTCCATTCTCGTCCATGTGGTGATTCAAGTGTATTACATCGAAATTTCAAAATATAGAAAAATACTTGCAAGTTCATTGCGGTGAGTGTCGTTTTCGGTGTAGAAAGATAGTCACTCTAGTAAATTACATTTATTAAAATAAATACTTCATCATTTTCTAATTGCATACTGAAGTGTGTAATAGTGTGGAACCATTCCATTTTTCGGTTTCATACTCGACTAATACATAGTCATCTGATGGACAATAAAAACCCACAACATACACTTCATACAACAAAATATTATAAATCGCACCAATAATTACATACTGTCACTCATACTAGGTATCTGGAAAATTCAAATATAATATTCTAAATAATCTGTACGAAGCCATCGGATAAAAAATCACTGACTAATTTTTTAAGGATACCAGACTTGACAAAATAATTTAAAAAAATATCCTTTGTTAAACAATATAATAAATAATCACAATAGATATAGTAGTTTTTTAAAAAAATGTAACTAACAGTCATAGCAGCTGCAGTTGTAATTTAAATCAATCAATAAACAAAAAAAAATTATAATCGTTTAATATTCTTAAAATAATTGGTACTATACATATATAATAAGTCATCTACTAATTAGCCAGAAAAATGATGAAAATATACCAGATAGATTTTCAAATTCAAATTTAAATTGAACTTTATATTATACGTATTAACTATATAATATTATTTAGGTACCGTGAAACGTACACTATTCATATTTATTATTTACATAATTCAATAAATTATTTTTAGTTACTAATATAATTTTATACCCTGTCTTATACACCCCCTCCCCCTTAACCGTGTTATACTTGAGTCTTATAAAGGTAAAAATTCATCATAAACCGTGATGAAAACATATTAAAACGAAATATATACATAACATGTATATATAAACACATATCTATACATACCGAGATACGGCTTTTCATTACACCATTTTGTCAAATCAACCAAAGCCGTGGTTTTGTGTCGTATCATATGCGTTTTAATATAAGTACATATGATAAAAATGTACATTTGAAATTTTAATAAAATATTTAAATACTTTCTCATAGAATAGTATATTCATGTGTAATGTACTAATGTGTTTGTATGCTTGTACAATTAAGTATAGTAATACGTATATGTATAAGTATGCGTAAAGTAATTATTTTGTTGCGTATAATTTTGAATTACATCCCCCTTTTGAAATACCTAGCTACGTGCCTGTCACAGAATCATTTTAATCCAACAGAAGAAAATAATTAGGTATATTCTTTAGAATTCTTTAAAATTTAAATGCATTTTTAATTGAGACTTATAATAATAATGCTAATAATGCGTCTAAAACTTCTTAAAATCCTCCAATATTAATAGTTTTTTTTTAAAACAGAATGGAGGAGGGCTATTAGAAATCTTTATGCAACGATGTTCCGTACCATGACACAATTTATCTAAAGCCGAGTTCACCTAAATATATAATGCTACTATTACATTACTGATTGGAGAATTCAAATTTCAAATATATAATAATTATAATATTTATCTTAATTATAATAACAGTGTAAAAATGTATAAATATATTATTATAATTTTGATTCTTGCTCTTTAAAAGCTAGGCATGTGCGTTCTGCTTTAGAAAGATTTAAATTCATTACACTGCGATGTAATAAAATGGATAACCATAACTAATAGGTAAATATAAAGAATATCACGAAAATAAATCCAATATTAATAATAATTAATAGTTATAAAGAAAGGAGGAGAGAAAATATATTATTATTTTACTAATTATTATAGTTTATAATGAATTATTGAATATAATATATTCAATTATAAATAATAGTCGTTAGTATAGTTATATGTTATACTCAGTGTTCGAAACATTCACTAACAGGGACTAACTAGGATTTTGAATTATATACTAAGGTATATTAATCATTTTTATATTTAAAATTTTATTTACGATCACATAGTAATATATTTTGTAATAAAAGAACTTTAACCCAATGATCGTCAATCAGGTTTCAAATTTACATGTAGCACCACGGTTTGAAATTTATCAGAGTATAAGATAATTAATTTACCTAAGAATATTTTAGACTATTGTGGTGATGATTTTTATTATAATGACTATTTCTATGCTCATGGTCGACCATCAATTGTCACCGGAGAAATTTAGACGTACCTTGCACGGCTGCACTGGAGACTGGTACGTATTTTCTGATTAAAAAAAAAAGAGAGAACTGGAATTAAAAGTGAAAAACTGAAGACCAGACTCTAGAATCTGGTCATCAGACTTTTATCAAAGGTGGAAAACATTCTTAAAGCCGATTACTCGTATGTTTATCGATATAATAAATATAATTGATCGAATGAAAATTGTATATTGATATGTGTGTTGTGATTATATGATATTATACACACGAACAAGGCCTTCGTTTTTACAGTGCAAAAATTTCTTATCGACGTCTCTTTTCCTGTCAGAAACATAGTTCGTTGACCATGGCCGCCACTAGAAGACTTCAAAAAGTTAGTAAAATTGTTTTTACACATTAGATAATACTAATGGCTTTTGTATAATATCCGTGGACGTAATAGACAAATAATACGTATGACAAAGCTGGAAAATACTGTTAAGTTTTAATTATTTATTCGTCCATTACCAATATACTTAATATAATCGAATTGATTACGTGATCATATAACATCACCCAAATTTAATTATTATTTCCCTTATTAACTGTACATTTCAAATAAATTAAATAACAATCATTGTTATTGTTTGATTTTATTTAAATTATCCTTGGTGCTATAAATAAGTTTTTATAATTTAAATAATCAAGTAAATTATTGTAAAATGTAATAAATATTTTTTATCAATGTCTTGGTATTATAAGGATTATCTATACAATTGTATATTTAATAATCATAATATTTAAAAATTTTGTAGTTTAAGTTTTATTGATCAATGTACAGTTATATAATGTATGCTTATTTAATATGAACTAAATTACAATAATTAAAAAGTATCAAATGTGTATAATATTTTTATATTTTAATTATTAAATAATAAACTCCCTTATCACTTGTGCTTATTGTAAACCGTAATTTTACAGATTGTACAATTCTCTAGCTTAAAAATACAAAAAAAAAAAATATTAAATATAAATATATATTAATATAATATATTATGTAATCATGTTGATTAATAAAGTATAAACTTTATGATAAATATATAATTGTAAACTAAACCATGCTAATATATTGTCAATCAGTTTAATGTTACCATAAGAACAATCTTACTATCTACTTGTTAACTTTTCTATTCAAATTATTTTACTATAGGTAGTGTTTGTTAATGACATTAATAATTTAAATTATTTACATTATTTAAAATATAAACATTGATCTATTACCTTTTTATTATTATTTTTTTTTTTTTTGTAGTTTTTAAATAATTAATTTTTTTGTACTAATTTGAATAAATAATAATTTTATTGTGCATATAACCTATTAAGTTTGATGTTAGAATCAAATAATTGAAAAATAAAGGTCATTTTTTTTAAAATTATATTCTTTAATAAATTATTAAAAAAACGCTTTAATAATCATAGCAATATAAACATTTTTACTAAAATTAAAATACATTTCAATACTAATTCATCACTTTCGTTCATTATTTATAAATAATGAGTTATTCATTAAATTGTATATACTTGCTATTTAATAAAATGTATCTGTAATAATTAATATTTTATATACAATCAAAACATTTGGCCACCAGTTTTTATATATCAGAACTTTTCATTAAAAAATTCTGACGATACCTCTGTGTACAATATATTTCTAGTAATTAAAAATAATTAAATTTCTAATTAACATTAGTGATTAGAATTAATTTTTTTTTTAAATTGTTATATACCTAATTTAAATATTATTTAATAAAATGCTTTTGTATTATATGTCTAACACTTCTATTTTATTTTAGGAATTAGCTGATATCCGTGATTCTGGATTGAAGTCTTTCCGTGATATTCAAGTTGATGAAACAAACATATTAGCCTGGCAAGGGTTAATTTTACCTGTAAGTTTTAATAAACTTAAAATTAACTCACAATCAATTTTTTTGAATGTTTTCTTGGGTAAGCAATTAAAAAAACCAAATATCAATAGCTGATATAACCTACATTTTTAATAAAATAATAAAAACTTAAATAAAAATTTAAAATTAGTTAATGATTAATACTCATAAATTTATTTATAAATTAATAAATAGCTTATTTATTTACAGTAGAAGCCCCTTATTTGGAACACTTTTAGGTGTAATTCACTTAAGTGAAATGTGTCAATTAACTGATTGCTTTTAATATGCAATTGGTTTTATTTATTATGAAAAAAATTATCTACTGTGAAAAAAAATGTATATGCTAAGTAAAATATACATATTTATCGTTGTCTGTTATTTTGCATCAAATAACTTGTTGATCATAGTTTTGTATGAATAGTGTTTCCTAAAGCCTTTTTCATCTGCAGGGTGCAGAACTGCTCTACTGAAGACATTTAGAACTTCTACAATTTCTTTACTTCATGGGGATGCCTATCTTTTATTTTTTTATCGTCAGTGACAACATGTTAAATTGATTGAGGATTTATAACCATACTAACTGACCCGATAAACATTGTTTTATCATTTAAATTATTTCTAGAGAATATTTTGCTAAAAAAAAATTACTAATATAATATTGGCGTATAAGGATGTAGTGTATAATTGGAAGAGGTATGGAGTGTTGTGAACGGTGATGAAATATAAAAATGAAAAAACATCAAATATTTATTTTTTTAATAATTTATTAAAATTGATCCATTAAAATTATATATATCGCTAATTATGACAATATTAGTAAAAAACAATATCAATCCCTTAAGGCAACAGAGTGTACAATATTTTTTGTTATTCCATCCTTCGCCAACACTAACTTGATGGTTCGAGAGCACGCCACGTATAATTGTCCGTGTGAAAAACATAATATGCTCAAATCTAAACCACAGACAGATATCGTTTGGCCTTGAGACTTATTGGTAGTCATTGCAATCTAATTGGAAATTGAAGGTGTTTAAATTGTATTGGCACATCTGTAGGTATAATAGGGATTCGCGGTAATAATATATTTTCACCTCGGAATTAGCCATTTAAAATGATGTCTTCGATAACATTTTACATTAATTTTTTAATAACTAATCGCGTGCCATTGTACAACCGTGGTGGGTTCAAATTACGAAGCAAAATAACTGGAGATCCAACCTTCAGTTGTAAATTAAGCGGTGGCATGTCTGATAAATCCAATAAGTTGAAAAACTTTGTTGGATGATTTACAGAGTAGCATCGCTAACTGTATCAATATATTTGTATGACACCAAGTCTCCTGATAACAAATGTTGTATCTTGAGATTCAATTCGTTGACGTCCACATTTTTTGCTGCTAAAATTGCTCTTTCTGTCAACCACTCTTGATTTATGTATTGTCTGTGTACATTGGAAAACATCTGGTCAATGAGAGCATCTTGCGAATCAATGATTTTGCAAAAATTGGTCGGTAATTGTATGAATCCCGTTTCATCTGTAATAACTTTCCCATCACCGTATCTAATAATTGTTTTGAGAATCTTCTGCACGCAGCTTTTTTTGATTGAATCGCAAGTATAGATATTGTTCACTCTCTATCTTTACATATATGTCGATCATGAATTGTTGACAAAGCTCACGACATCGTAGAATAATGTTGTCCTGATCGAGTCTAATCATCAACCGATATGCATAATAATCCTTCGAACTAACATTCTTTTTTGTTTTGGCACCTGTCGCGAGATCTTATTGTTTAATATTTATGCAATACCCATCATTTAATACCAAAAATAATATTAATATTTTTTTTAATAGTTTCATTTATTAATTAATTTTTAATTGCTTAGTTATCGACCCGGTCAAAAATTATTAAATTAAACTACGATTTATTAAACAATAGCACTTTTTTAGCAATTTTTTTTCGTAAAAACCTCTTCTGGAAATTACGATCAATTAAAAAAAAATTTGAGTCAAATCGGCCCAGCCGTTTTCAATTGATGAAATGTTATACATTTTTGGCTCCATTTCTATATATATATGTATATATGTATGTATATATAAAGAGAAGAGATTACAGAACAAAACAAAAACAAAAAAAAAAAAATAGGAATTTTTCTATGACCTTGGCACTTATTGTTTCAAATAACTGATGTTTAGTTTAATAATCTGATTTTTTTTTTTTTTTTTTTTTTAATTTGCATTTGCAATAATCTGATTGATTTACAATGTTTTAATATACGGTCGATTCATCCCTTGACATATTGTTTCAATAACACAATTGTATTAATTATCCCTGTCTCTAATAAACAGTTCTACTGTATATACTAATTTTATAGTAAAAAAAAAATATCTTATATAAAATCTGTATTTAAATTGTTTTAAGAATTGATGTCTAATAATATACGGAAAAAAAATCTTTTTTTTGCTGGTCAAAATCTTGTCTTATTTATAGTTTAAAAATAAATTTTATATTTAGTTTTAGATTATTATAAATTGTTTTTTAGGTTCTATACTTTTGTAATAATATATACTCTTTTTCATTTTAAACTATTAAAATAAAAATTTAACTATTAATGTTTTACTTGATGTATTACTTACAGAAACTTAGTGTTGTCTACCCTAATTAAGATCATTGGTTTTAGAATATACTTATATATTATGATATATTTCACTTTACTAAATAATATATTTTAAAAGCAATAGCAATTTTAATATATAAGCATTAGCTTAACATTATTTTATTATATTACTTTTTTTACTTGTAAAATAATAATACAATTTATCAATTTGTCTTTTTGTTGAGTAAATTTTATCAATTATTTTCAGGAAAATCCTCCATATAATAAAGGAGCTTTTAGAATAGAAATTAATTTTCCAGCAGAATACCCATTTAAACCACCTAAAATAAATTTTAAAACTAAAATTTACCATCCTAATATTGATGAAAAGGGTCAAGTGTGTTTGCCAATCATAAGTGCAGAAAATTGGAAACCAGCTACAAAGGCTGATCAAGGTATTACCTTACTTTTTTTTCAATTTCAAATTTACTATTAATTCTATTATACAATTAACAGTAATTTATAAATTTTTATGGTTTTTAGTTATTCAAGCTTTAATAGCTCTAGTCAATGATCCTGAACCAGAACATCCTCTACGCGCAGAATTAGCTGAAGAGTATTTGAAAGATCGTAAAAAGTTTTTTAAAAATGCTGAAGATTACGCCAAAAAATTTGGTGAAAAAAGACCGTCTGATTAGAATGTAATCTTGATGTTTCTATACACTTGAACGTTGTTAAATTATGATCAACACCAACTTCATTACACTATATTATACTATAAACAACGACAACAAGTTTTCACCAATATGTGTAAACACACAATTTCGAGCAATTAGTTGAGTTTACAAGATTGTAACCAATATTTCTATGGCCTCAATAAATACTATAATTTAAAAAAAAGTTTTTATTTTTATGGTTAGAAAGTCATAAGCATTTATATTTGATAATGCTTTTTCTTAATTAATGTATTTATTAAATGTAAATTTTTTTTCAATTAAAATTGTACTCCAAAAACAAATATCAATAATGTATAAATAACTTAAATTATGATAAAAAAATATTTTTGTATGTATATTATTTCACATTGAAATTTTAAGACCAAAAAATATATGTTCAGAAATAACCTATTGAATATTTCCATCGTTTCTATGAACTTGTCATTTGTACAAAAATATTTATTTAAAAACAATGAACAAATTTGTTTCTACAAAATTGATTCAAAATTGTTTATTATTATTGAGATACTGATGAAATGAGAATCAGAGAAAATCAATAGTTAATTTTCTTAAAAACCATATGTTAAAATTATTTAAAAGTGATTGACTCTGATTCAAAATTAGTTAAAAGCGAAAGAAAAAACACATGCTTGTGAGTATTAAATTTCTTTCTAAAAGTTAAAAAAATATTATTTTACTTCCTTTAAATTGATATACATAGAATTTAAAATTAAGTGTTAACAAATAAATAAAATATAATTATATACCTTAAAATGTAAAATACTAAAATTTCATAGTTTCTAGTTTCCATAATGTGACCTAAAAAATAGAATTTATTATATACATAATTTATAACTATAAGTTTTAAAATATTAACATTACCTCATTATCAAAACGAAATGATGTAGTTGCAAGTAACTGATCATTAGAAGAAATATCCATTGATTTTATTTCATTTAAGTGATAAATTGAATACAAAAATCTTCCTTCAATAGTATCATAAACCTTAAAATAAAAAATTCATGATATTAATGTTATAATATTTTTTAAAGGATAAGTGTAATTTTGTTAAATATACTATAAATATATTACATTAAGTTTTTTATCTTTTGAAACTGAAACTAAACATGGTGTTTTATATTGATACTGAATACAATTAACTTGACTTGTGTGTTTGTTATACATTTGTAAAACTTTTAATGCCCTTAAGTCAAACACTTGAATGGAGCCTAAGTTAGTACCCACAGCAATAGAAAAATCCTCTTTAAGTGTAAGAGTTTCAGCATAATCTAAATTGATTAAAATAACCAGTCATTCAAATAAAATACTTACATATACTTAAAATAAAAGTTATATAGTTTTTACCTGGACTTAAATTGAACTTAACAACACATTTGCCAGAACAGCAATCAAAAACTTGTATGTATGAATCTCTTGAACAAGATACGACTAATTTGTTACAATTGAAAAACTTAGCCATATTTACCCAATTATTATGGAACATGTTACTAGCAACAAACTTATTAGTTTGACAATCCCATATTTTAAATGTTTTATCATTAGAACAAGAAATTAAATAATTATTGTCTGAGGAATATTCAATATTACGTATTGAATGAAAATGACCTCTAAATTCAGTTAATATCTTGTAGTTTGAAAACTAAAATCATACATATTTTATAATTTATTTGTAATGATTTAATTCAATTAAATTAAGAAAAATGTATTAGATAATAACCTGAAAATTCCATAACTGTATTTTTCCACTGTCTGAACATGTAGCAATTTTATTTCCTAGATAATTGCTTGCTAGATTTGTAAGTTTACCTTTGTGTTCATATTTTGTCCTGTATATAATAGACATAAGATAATTTTGGTTATTTAGCGAACAAATACTCAAATAAAAACTCACTTGATAATTTTTATATTAGCTTTGGTCCAATCGTATACATATATGTTATTTGAATTGTCTAAAGAAGCCAATCTATTTTTTTGTCCTAAAAATGATACTTTTATCGGATGATGTTTTGTCTTCAAACTAAGCCAATATGATGGTTGCAAGGCTAGAGTGTATTCTGAATAATCCAAGACTAAAAATAAAGTAAATAGATAAATTTAACACAAACGTATACTATTCCTAGTTTCAAATTATAAAAACATTACCATTGGTTGGTCTTAAAATTGTTTTGTTCCATTTTAAACATTTAATATCAGCAGACATGACTATTATTATTGATTATAGAATAAATACATTATAGTTTATTCTATAATCTTTCCTAATATTAATTCACAACTATGCATAATATTATGATCCATTTAAATACAACTTACTGTTTCAATATATATAAAAAAATTATGAATAAAAACAAATTTGATTTAATAATAGAAAAAAAATAATACAGTAGTACAGAAGGAAATTTAGTTCTTATTGTCAAATATTAAAAAATTTATTTAACTGACAAAATATCAATAAAAATACTGATAGTCTTTGAGAATTTAAAGTAAAGCAACCACAGAGTAAGAATCTAACGAATATTATCCTTATCAACTTTTTGAAATTTATAATCAACTTGTATTGATATCAACAAAATGTATTTCAGCGATCCATAAGTTGATTTCAAAAACAACTTTTAATCCTAAGATGTATATTTTAGTTATTTAAATTTACTTTGCTCTATGATATTATTGATTATTGAATATACCATGTTATACTGAACTACTTACTTAGTAGTAAAACTTAATAAAAATAAAAATATATATATTTATATTATAAAAAAGTTAAGTGTTTCTTTTCGAACGAATTAGGTTTAGTTATTGGGATCGTCTCAGATTTCACCTAATCTGTGGTATTGCTAAAAATAAAATAATTAATTATTAGTTAATGTTTTAAAAATATTTAACAGTGAATCATTCATGATTTTTAAAAATTAAGTAACGTTCCTGTAATCACTAATCACTATCCAATGCTGAGTTAGAGATAACATAAAGTAAATACCATTAATAAATAAGATAATAAGTTAATATTGTACTAAATAATTTCTACATCATACTTTCAACCTATGAAATTGTCATAATTTTAATGATGTTCAATTTATATTCTAAAATTTCTATAAATTTAAAAGCAATCTAAATAATTTAGGTTCTTTATTAATTTAGTGCGTACAATTACTTATATAATTAGTTTTAAGTTTTGAATTATGTCAACCAATGATAATGAATATACTGATGGAGCTAATAATGAGACATTAGTGTATTCTGCAGAAGTACAAAAAGCCATAGACGAGGTATTAACATGTGTAAATATTGTATTTTGATTAAATATATTGTTATTCTATCTATCTATATTGTTACTATTCTTACATTTATAGATTTTACCGGGTGATGATCCATTAGATAAACCTGAATTTGATACTATAGACTACATCAATAATCTGTTTCCTACTGAGCAATCACTTACTAATATTGATGATGTTATTAATACACTTGAATGTAAGGTAGACTCTATTGATAATGACATACGATCAGTTATTAGAGGTCAAATTGAAGTTAGCAAGGTACAGTTTATTCTTACATATGAACAACGGTTATTAAGTTATTATTATTTATATGTAGGATGGTAAAGCTGAGCTTGAAGAAGCTCAACGTTACATCAAACACCTATTTAGTCAGATCAGAGAAATCAAACAAAAAGCTGAACATAGCGAAGAAATTGTTAAAGAAATAACATTAGATATTAAACAATTAGACTGTGCAAAAAAGAATCTCACTACATCCATTACTACACTGAATAATTTGCACATGTTTGTTTCTGGCATTGAGTCCCTCAGGTATGTTAACATTTAGATGCAAATTAAATAAATAATGTAAATATACAAATCCCTATAGATGTTTGACTACAAAACGTAAGTATGGAGAAATTGTAATGCCCTTACAGGGAGTTACTGACGTTATGAAACATTTCAAGAACTATACAGATATACCACACATTGCTCAATTAGCTACAGAAGTAAATTCAATTTATTGTAAATATTTGTTTACAATTTATTTTTATTTATTTTTTTTAAAAAAAAAAAAAAAGGTGAAACAACTTCAAGAATCCTTAGCAACACAAATTATGGCTGATTTCCATGAAGCTTTTTCTGGCCCCAATGCAAAAAACTTTGTTCCTAATAGACAAATGGCTGAAGCATGTTTAGTTGTTTCAATATTAGAACCAAAAGTCAAGTAAGACATTTTAAATATAAACTTGATAGGCTTACATAAAATTATTAATTTAATTTAATTTCTTAGGGATGAATTATTAGAGTGGTTTATAGATCTACAATTATCAGAATATACACATTTATTTGATAGCGCAGAAGATGTGGCCTGGTTGGACAAGCTCAACCAAAGGTATGCATGGTTTAAACGACAACTATTACAATGTGATGAAAAGTTTAGTTCTATGTTCCCTGTTCAATGGAAATTATCTGAAAGAATTGCTGTTGAGTTTTGTAAAATTACCAAGTAAGTTAAATGTATTATTCACATTTTTTTTTAAATTAATAAATATTTATTAACAGTATTTCTATGTCATTATTTTATATAGAAATGAGCTGTCTAAATTGATGGGTAAACGAAAAAATGAAATTGATGTCAAACTTTTATTGTATGCAATTCAAAAAACAATTGCATTTGAAAATTTGATGGCTAAATCATTTAGTGGAAGTACAATGCATCAAAACATTGATGGACCATTAGAAAATAATACTGTATGTATTTATTAATCTAATAATAAAATATAAAATTGCAAATAGTATTTTAAGTTGGTATTTAAGTTAATTATAAGTATTTAATTATTTATCATACATAATATAAAAAGGGCATAGTCCATATATAATAATAAAATAATAAAATAAAATAAATAAAATTATTTTTTAAATTTTTAAGAAACAACCAATTGTCACTAACGTTGATATAATGGATGAAATTATTCAACCCTTTTCTGAAGAATTACAAATAACCAATGATATGACAAGAAATATAGCATCACAAACGCAGATGAATGAATTAAAACAAAATTCATCTCCATTTTATGGTTTGATTAGTGATTGTTTTCAACCGTTCCTTTATATCTATATTAATAGTGTTGATAAGTAATTATTAAATTTAAGTTAAAAAATATTATTTTGTACTATTAAGTAATTTTTATTATTTTAAGAAATCTGTCAGAATTGATTGAGCGGTTTGTCAGTGACATTAAGATCACCTTAGCCAAAGAAAACATTGATGATCAAACTGCTACTGTTTTACCAAACTGTGCTGACTTATTTCTATTTTATAAAAAGTCACTTGTTCAATGTACTGAACTCAGCAATCACAATCCAATGTTATCATTGGCAGCTGTATTTCAAAAGTATTTAAAAGAATATGCAACTAAAATATTAGAAGTCAACCTTCCAAAGTAATTACATTTAAATTTTTTAATTTATTATATAATATAAAAAAAAATGTATTCTTAATAAAATTATTATTTATACTAAAATTTAAATCTATGGTTTATAGAATAAGTCACCCAGCTACTTCTTTAACAACAAATGTATCAAATATGACAAAAGACTTAATAAAAGATTTACAACTTCTTCCAAGTGGTATGACTGATGCTGGTGTTAAAAATATAAACTGTACTCCACAAGAACTTGCTAAAATATGTTGGTAAGGAAATAGAATTTAGAATCTAATTATATTTCAGTTCATGTAAAACATTAATTTTTATTTTAAGTATTTTGACTACTGCTGATTATTGTATGGAAACAACACAACAGTTAGAAGAGAAATTGAAAGAAAAAATAGATCCTAGCTTAGTTGGTAAAATTAGTATGATTAATGAACAAGATTTATTTCAAAAGTAATATAAAACCATAGCAAATAAAAGCATGTTTAATTGTATATTATAATCTATGTTCTAGCATAATTTTTACATCTATAAAATTATTAGTTCAACATTTGGAAGCTGACTTAGAACCAGCATTAAATAATATGATCAAAGTAATAATTGATTAGGTAGATTGTTAATATATTTATTCTATTTTCAAATTTGTATTGAAACATTTCAGGTTCCTTGGCAAAATATTTCTGCTGTGGGAGATCAGAGTGAATATGTTTCCATAATGACAACACATTTAAAAGCTGTTGTTCCTGTTGTTCGTAAAAATTTATCAACATCTAGAAAATATTTTACAAAGTTTTGCATCACTTTTGCAAAGTAAGTTCATAATTTAGTATGTACCAATAACAAATTTCTAATATTAATCATAAATAATTTTACTGATGATTAATGATTAATTTTAGTTTAATTCATATTTTTAACTTAATGAGTGATAGAATAACTTTAATTTATTGAAAAAAATATAAAGTAAACTACCTGTTGAATATGTTGTTCATACCGACACAGTATACTCATCATTAAAGTGTTATACTTCAATTTCTAGGGTTTAAGAATAAATAGTTCCACATCTAGGTAATAGCATATATTATAGAAAGTATAAAATATTAATCAGTAGTTTAATATTAATCCTATATCATGGTCACACAAAGTACAAATGTATGTAATGAAATTTATTTTTCACAATACTGAACAAAGTAAATTTATGTATATTACAATAAAAAAAACATAATCATAAGTCATTATTAAGGTCTGAAAATTGATGACCACATAATCTTAATAAAATGCACCAAAAAAGTGTTTAAATAACAAAAAAATTAACATATTTTAATTGATTTAATGACATGTTAAGTTCTGGTCCCAGTCATTAGTATTTATAAATTAAAAATGAATTTTAATTTGGTATTATTTTTATTAATTATTTTCAGTTCTTTCATACCAAAATTCATACAGCATTTATATAAATGCAAGCCATTGTCAAATATTGGTGCTGAACAATTGCTGTTGGATACTCATTCACTAAAAACTATTTTATTAGATCTGCCATCAATAAATCTAGATGATAATCGTAAAGCTCCAGCTAGGTAATACATCTTCAACCATTTATTTATTTGATGTTTTATTTTTGTATCACTTTTTTACCTTAGCTATACAAAGGTTGTGGTAAAAGGTATGACAAAAGCAGAAATGATATTGAAATTAGTAATGGCTCCTACAATGAAGCATTATACATCATTTGTTGATCAGTATTTAAAACTATTACCAGAATCAGATATGACAGAATTTCAAAAGATATTAGAAATGAAGGTTAATTTTTCCTAATATCTACAAAATGCACCAGATTATATTAATATTTACTTATAAAATCAAATGGTTTAATTGTATTACAGGGTCTGAAAGCAGCTGAAAGAAATGAATTATTAAATTTATTTAGACCTAGGAATCCTACTGGTAGTTTTGTAACAAGCACAGCAGCTCTATCCAGTTTGAAACAATATACTAGTCGCATAAAAAAGAATTTGATATCTAACACTAATAATTAATCTTATTTATATCATTGAATAAAAATTATTTTTTTAAATTTTACAGATTAATATAAGTATTTATTAATTCCTAAATAAATGTTGAATATTAAACTAACCTTATATTAGTATTAAATTCTTATATTATTTTATAATATATCTATTTATAAATTATAAATAATAAAAATATCTAATTTGAGTTGTCATTTCAAAGAATAATACAATTATGACTTAATTATTAATACAATCTACATAATGCAGTGATGATATTTAGATATTTACAATGTTCCTGAAAACTCATAAAATTAATTATTAATAAATAATTAAATACGAATTGCTTTTATTATTACTGAGTGAAATACCACGATTTAGATAAAAATTTAGAAGAGATATATATATATATATATATATATATGGATAATAATATATTTATTTAGGAAGAATAAACATTCAAAGTACAACAAATTAAATACTTACTAAATTCCAATTAATGCCTATTCTTACAATATCTGGTTAGTGTGGTTAGCATTAACCTATGGTTATAATGAATTTTAATGGACATTTGGTTCTTATATATGTTAGTTTAGTAAAGTCTTAGGTTACTATATGTCTTACAGTCATATTAATGATTAACGGTCGGATTTCAATGGATGAATTTGGGTAATATATTGATGCTGGTGGTATGCTTTAAGGTGATAACAAATCCTTCACTTTAACCTTCACTAATGGGTCAGAAAAAAGCCTATTACTGATAATATACCGAATAGGTATCTAAATTATATTTTAAATATTAAATTCATTTTGTTAAATACTATGCATTCAATCACAAATAAAATTATATACAATTAAAAAAAATTAAAAAATTTAATAATAATATTCTCAACTTTTATTTCGATATTACAAAAATAATAACACTTCATTTAAATTTGAAAGAAGACAAATATTTATTTATCTAACTGGATAAAATTTGAAATGACAAAAACATAATTAATATCCATTATAAATGACCTTTTTCCTTTAACTTTGATATTAAAGTATCAACATCTGGTAAAACTGAACCTGCTTGTCTAGTAGGTGGATCTTCTACACTCAATACTTGTTGCCGTGGTGCTATATCTACTCCAACGTCTGCAGCAGTTATTTTTTTTATTGGTTTCTTTTTGGCTTTCATGATGTTGGGCAAAGTTGCGTATCTTGGTTCATTTAATCTTAGATCTGCACTTATTACAGCAGGCAATTTAACTTTAATTGTTTCTAAACCGCCATCTATTTCCCTCTTAACCACAATAGCATTGCCTTCTACTGTTATTTCAGATGCAAATGTTGCTTGGGGCCAATTCAATAAAGCAGCAGTCATTTGAGCAGTTTGATTGGAATCATCATCAATGGCTTGCTTACCAACAATAATTACATCGATTTTTTCATCTTGTGCAATTTTCGCCAGGATCTTTGATACATGCAATGGCTGAAGTGTATCATACTGTGTTTGTGGCACTTCAACATGAATACCACGATCTACACCCATGGCCAGAGCTGTCCGTAATGATTCTTGAGCTTGTGGTAACCCACAAGACACTGCAATTATTTCCGAAGCGATTTTTTTTTCCTTCATACGAACAGCCTCTTCGACAGCAATTTCATCAAATGGATTTAAACCATGTTTAACGCCATCGGTTACGACTCCCAATTTATCAGGCTTGACACGAATCTTCACTGCATAATCAATCACTCTTTTCACTCCAACCAATACACGAGCCATTATTAAAAATTAAATAAAGAAATTATAAGTTTTACACAGCAGATTAAACCACAGAAAACAGTACTTATATTGTAAATCAACGTTTAAGAACTGTATTTTATACTTTGAGTTTCAAACTTGTCTCAATGTTGAATCTTGAATAGAAATACATTTTTATATTTATAATGGCCACTGGGTATAAAATCCAACTAGGAAATACATTTTGACCAATTACAAACGTTCAAATAAATTTAATCAGTAGTCTTATCACGTAAAATATTTCACTAGCTACAGCTGAGCAATAATCTACGGCACAAATTAATTTTTCCGCTTTAAGTGGCCTTCGTGTAATGACCTATTGACCATCGTGTAATTTAGTATTCCAATTCATTTCAGAATATCGACCACAAAAATTCCCGTAAAAGTTATCGGAATCTAGGGTATACCCATACTAAACTTAACTTATAATTTGATTATGTCAGTATCTAATAACAACTAATTCTTTGGTTATTTACATGTTAAACTGCGTTTAAATCATATATACCAATTAATTTATCAATAAACTGGTAAATAATTTATAATCACTCAGCATCAATTTTTAAATCAAATTACTACAAGATTTGATTTTTAGACATTATTGATTAATAATTTATCAATTTTCTCAGTTGAGAAATTTAAAAATTAATACTGAATTCTAAAAATAGTAATTGTTGTTCATTGCAATTATTATAGCAATTCTTAAAATTAATATATTTTACAATTAACTAACATATAGTTATAAAACATATAAAAAGGCTTTGCATTAAATAAAATCTAAACAGAAAATTCAGATCAAATTTAATTCTTTACATATGATACAATTAGATTTTTCACACACATACACACACACACATATATATATATATATCTCTATGATATTTTCTAATAAATTTACTATAATTAAAATAGATTGAAAAAGAACATTGGAAAGTGAGACAATTAATAAAGGTACACAAAATACATGTTACAGTAGTAGAATTTCTACTAAAATTTTATTTTATTTCTATGAAAAAAAAAACATTGTATATAATTATGTCTAATTTTATTATAATGCAATGAAAATATTAATTAGAATAACATTTATCTGGGAAGGTTCTTTAAGTCATATAAAACCCAAATAGGTATAATCAGTGTTGATCCACAAACAGAGCCTCCAATGAGTAATTGTTTCTGAAAAATAAAAAGTACATAAGTTGCTAAATATATTATTTATGAACATGAATTTCATATAATTAAATATAAAACTAAAAATAATAGTTTATCAATAACTAATTTATTATATTATACAGTGGCGTAATTCGGAAAAAATATCAGGGGTTGCAAAAGTTACTCAGGATGCACAAACATTATAAAACAATGTTTTAATATAATCATATTATTATATTCTATTAATGTTATTATAAATTATAAATTTAGTTCTTTTATAATTAATGTATAGGCACACCCATTACTTTTATTTAAATATTAAATAACATAATCTTTTATAATTATAATATAATTACAACCTATATTACATCTAATATTATATAACTTATTTTTAGATTAAACCTTCTATGTTGTCATATTGTTATGGATGTTATTATCGTCACAATTTTCTCATTCTCCAACTTATTTTATTTCATAATTATTTAACTAAATAGTTACTTATTTAAATTTTTTTTACTATCTGGTGATACACATAAATATGGAGTTTCCAAGGTTTGCAAAATAATACTTTTGCAACCCATAAATTATATTTGGAGTCGCAAGTGTAACTCTCCAATTACGCCACTGATATTATACATAGGTACTCCAAGAACATGTAAACTATACTTATTAAACACATAGTAGTAATTATTAGAAATTTTCATTAATAAAAATCTTTAATTAATTATAATAAAGAATCAGTAAATATCTCAAGTATTTGAATTAGTTACAAACAGCATGTATAATGGACATTCATCGTAAGATCGTAAGAACAAAAGATTTATAAGACTTAAATAAGAATATAATTAGAATAATTATACTCAATATTATATATATCATTTAACTTATTGAATCGCATACAGCTAAAATAATTAGCAAGTATTTAAGTTATAAATACAAGCATTAATAAATTTTTACCCATTTTGGCATTCTGACTTCTGGTGGTCCATTAACAGCAATATTTGTTCTCTTGGATATAACTTGAAGGGATTGCCTAGCCAAAGGCTGAGCTAATTTTGATAACCCGAACATCTTTTATATTTTGAATGAATGTAAATAAAATATTGATTTAGAACAATTTGCAATTGTATCCCTTGATTTTCATATACATTTAATTGTAAAATATAGAATAACCTTTTTAATAGAGGTAATCGGCATTATCAAAATAATTTGATTAAACATAAGGTTCACAGTGTAACCAACACTTTGATAATGAAAATTAGTTGGTTTCGAAACTTTTTTTTATTATTTTATCTCAATTATTTATTAAGTTCTGTTATTGTTTTTCTGTGATAATATTCATGATAAAGTAAATTTACTTTAATATTTATAAAAATCCAGTATACATTTTAAAGAAAAACTTGATACATTTTGTTTAACCAAGTTCAACATGTCTAATTACTTAGCTGGAGGAAAAGTGAACATTAATCTACTTCAAGAGAATGCATCTAAAGACTTAATTTGCCTATTGGATAAATGTGATGGCCCTAAGGTACACACAAAATAAATAATATTTATATCATTGATGATCTAATACATTAAGAATTAAATTAAAACATCACATAGGTTATAATTTTGGATGAAGGTCTCACTAGACCTATTGGTTTAATAGCTACGTATAGTTTGTTAAGAGAACATGATGTTAAAGAAGTATTTATACTTAGCTATGGCAAGTTGAATAATTTCAGGGAAAAGGTGAAAAATGTCATATTTATTACCAGGCCATTTCTACCACATATGGATATGATATGTGAAAATATTCACAAGTATGTATTTCATTGAAATCTCATAATTTATCTGTATTTGTATGTTTATTAAATAATTATGTATATTTTAATTGATCTTAATTTTCATTACTGTAACAACATTTTTTACAATTATTCATTTATGTTTTTATAACATATTAAACCATTCATTTTTTTTTTTTTTATATATATAATTAATTTAATGTGATACTTAATTGTTAATATTTTAGTATTAATATGAGGAGTATGTTTAGGCATATTCTGTGATTCCACTTAGGCCTTATTGTAATAAACTAAATAGTAAAAAATATAATTTTTTAATGGGCTTCTATAAATTATTTTAGCTCTATTTTATGTCTTTTAATACAGTGATATGCAACCTGGAAATCATTTTATTTCAATTAGAAATTTTCAGTAGCCTAATACCAAATTAAAGAGTTATATATGTTACGGGCAAAAGCCGAAATCGGACAAACCTCAGAAATGCCCGGGCAAAATGCAAACTGCCCACAATCCTTGAGCAAAATGTCATATTTCGGCTTTTGACCGGGCAAACCTAGTTATGACCAAATTCATTTGGGCAAAACTGCCAAAACCGTATACTGACTTTTATCGTAATGGCAAAATCGTAGAGTCTTAAATATGTTTGCTAATATTAAATACGATTATAGATGACCATGCATATCTTGTTAATTTATCGCTGTTATTATATTTTTTCAACTCGTTATATTAAAGGTACACAAAATACACCTTATCAAAATGGAGTTTAAATGTATTATTATTTTTAATTATTTATTTTAACATTATAAAAGTACCTAATATTATTATGTTTATTTTTATACAAATACTTAATATCATTATATTTTATTATTATTTAAGTGCATTAAATTATATCTAAACAATATTTTATGATTATTATTTTTTTGTATTTAATATTAGTGAATTTATTTAAAACGCTACAGTTTAGCCCAAGTGAGGTTTAAATGTATTAATTAAGTTTATCCAATTATATTTGTACAATAATATTTATTTTATAATTATTTTTATTTAATATTAGCGAACATATTTAAGACTACGGTTTTACCCTTACGATAAAAGTCAATATACGGTTTTGGCAGTTTTGCCCAAATGAGGTTGGTCATAACTAGGTTAGTCAAACTAGTCAAACTAGGTTTTGTCCGGTCAAAAGCTGAAATATGACATTTTGCCCAAAGATTTTGGGCAGTTCGCGTTTTGTCCGGGCATTTCTGAGGTTTGCCCGATTTCGACTTTTGCCCATAACATATACATTGTATATTATTTTTGTCTTATTGAAATAAACAGATTTGGAAGTTGTGGATCAAAAAAAGGTTGTACACCACTTTTATTATTTGTGAATTTATATTTCTAGAGAAAGTCGAGAAGATCTTACACATAGAGAATATCATTTATTTTTTGTTCCTACACGTAGTTTATTATGTGAAAAACGTTTAGAAGTAAGTTTATTGTATAATATCTTGTTAACCTAATCTATAAAAACACAATTTTGAGTTTTATTTAAATTACATTTCTTTTTATTATAGAGAAAAGGAGTTTTTGGAAATTTTGTTCTTATTGAAGAATTCCGTTGTCTTTTATTCCCTCTGGAAAATGATCTTATGTCAATGGAAATGAATGATTGTTACAAGGTATTGTTACAATATTTAAATTTTTTAGTTTACTTATAGTTGGTTTTTTCATATTCATTTAAGGGATTTAATTATATAATGGAACTTATTTTTTTTTTATATATATATAACTAGGAATTATCGTTAGAAAATGATCCTACATGTTTATATCGTGTAGCTCAATCAATTGTTATGCTAGAAGACCTTTATGGCCGTATTGGACGAGTAACTGGTAAAGGTCATGTAGTTAAACAAGTTTGGGATTTAGTATCTAAAATATCTTTAGAACCTCGTAAACCAAACTCTAAAGCTAATAGAAATTATATAACTATTGACCATCTTGTTCTAATTGACCGCTCTGTGGACTTAATGACACCAATGGCCACTCAATTAACATTTGAAGGATTAATTGATGAGCTTTTTGGAATTGATTGCTGTAAGTTAGTCTTATACTATACTGTCTTAACTAATGATTGACTGTAATTGTATTATTTTAGGTACTGTAGAATTACCAGCAAACAAATTTGTTTCTGATGAAGAAAATGTCAATACATTGACACATAAGAAAATTGTATTAAATTCAAATGATGAGATTTTTGCTGAAACTAGGCAAGTAAATAAATGGATTAATTACTTAATATATAATACATGTTACTACCAAGAAAAAAATAATAGTAAAATTACTTTTTATTTTTAACAGAAATAAACATTTCAATGCAGTATTGATGAATTTGAGTAAAAGAGCCAAAAATATTACGTCTGAATATGATGAAACTCGCAGTGGTAAAACTGTGCAAGAGATGAAACAGTTAGTGTCAAGACTTCCATACATGATGGCACTAAAAAAACAACTTTCTACATGTAATCACCCTGTAATTAATTTTACTTGGCTGCAATTTTTTTTAAATATATTAAAAGATAAAAATATCATGTTTTAATCAGATACCACAATTGCTGGACTAATTAAAGAATTGACAGACAAAACCAGTTTTCGTGATTTAATTAACCTACAACAAGAACTGATTTTGGGTATTGATTCAGATAAAGTATTACCTTCAATAGAAGATTTGATATCCAACAAATGTGATCTTATAATAGTAATAATTGTTTCTATAAAAGAAAAAAAAAATTAAAGATTATATAAATAAAAAAAAAATCTCTGATTACAGGTGTTAAGATTAATATGTATGCAGTCTGTTGTAAATTCTGGATTAAAACAAAAAGTTCTGGAATACTACAAGAGAGAAATCATTCAGACTTATGGCTTTAAACACCTTATTACTATCACTCTTTTGGAAAACGCTGGTCTCATAAAATTACAAGTACTACTATGACTTGTACAATTTTTTTTTTTTTTTAACTGTTGTTTATAACTATAAATATTATTGCAGACAAGTTCAAGATGCTATGCTGTCTGCCGCAGATTATTGAAATTGGATGTATATGAAATGAGTGAAGTTGATCCGGATGATATTAACTATGTTTATGGTATTTATGCTCCACTTAGTGTTCGATTGATTCATCACATTTCTAAATCAGATAGTAAAGTATTGTCTGATGTTCTACCATTATTACCTGGACCCATTGTAGAACATGTAAACTACAATACAGATCAAAGTAATGAACTAAAAATCACTAAAAACCTTTTATAATATACTAAGTAATATTATTTACAGCATCCAGTATGAACTTTTTAGTAGACTCTCAAAAAGTTGTACTAGTATTCTTTATAGGAGGTTGTACATTTGCTGAAATATCAGCTCTTAGGTTTTTGTCATCGCTTGAAGATTGTAAGTTATTTTTTATTTTTTATAATTACAAATAATACTATTTTTATAATAACTGTTTTAGCTACAGTTGAATATGTAATTTCTACTACCAATATTATCAATGGCAATAGTTTTCTCAAGTCATTATTAATTCCTGAAATAAACAAGACCTTATGTAATAAGTAAAGTATTTGATTTTATACTCAAACTTAAACATTCATATTACATATTATATATTATGATTATACAATGATTAATTATTAAGAAGACTAAATTTATACAAAATATTGTTCCAAGATGTATTTTTTCATTTGTTATTAATTATTATTTATTGAAAACAAAAATAAACTATTGATGTTTTTCTAAAAATGACGTGCATGATCTCATGCATTGTTGATAACACTTTTCAAATCCTTTAGTGTCACTATCATAATATGGGTCTTGTATAATGGAATCACCTAATGGGTCAAATGACCCTAACAATAGTAATTTTGCTTTAGATCCTTTCGGCTTCATTCGATTTAAATCTCTCATATTACTCTGATCCATTCCAAAAATGAAATCAAATCTATTGAAATCTTCCTTAGTTAATTGTTGTGCTGAATGCTTGAACTGTATTCCATTATTCCGCAGTACGGTCATTGTCCGATCGTCAGGTGAACAACCTACATGCCATCCGCCAGTACCAGCACTTTCAGCATACCATTTATCGTTCACGCCCTTTAGTTTGGCTGCCTCTTTGAAAACTGCTTCGGCCATTGGAGATCGGCATATATTACCCAAACATACAAACATGACACTACGCTTATCACCCATTGTCAAATAACAATAATTTTAACAGATAAATAAATAAACTTTTATAGAAAAAAAATAGTTCGTAACCAGCACAAACTTTAAAAATGTGTGTGTAAGAACAATTAATAAAATAATATGTGGTAATAAGTTATTATAATGATTGGTATTATTAGCGATTTGTACTATATAACTTACTATCATTCAAACCAAAAAACATACTAAAATGATACTAAAATTTATTCTGTGATAACATCATAGACCTTATGAGGAGCATGGGTATATTTCCAGCGGTCAGATGTGAGCGCTTTGTTCTACTATTACTCAATTACTATGCACATGCGCAATAAAATTTCAGATTCAGCGTTCGTTTGTTACGTTTTAAAAATTATTGTATGATAAGAATACATACAAAAAAATATTATATTATACATTTATAATTAGGTAGAAACACAATAATTTTTATTTAGGGTTATTTTTATGGAGACTAAGTTTACGGGATTTAGTATACATTTTAGTATGAGGTTTATGGAAATATGTTTCATATATTCTGGGCTGATAATCTGATATTTCCCAGTTCCTCCCACCACAGGATAATTGTTTCTTTTTACTATATCAATGACGGTGACAAATCAGAGAAATTGTTCAGAAAAATAATTAAAAACCATCTTCGAAGTACGATGTCCCAAATTCGTTTATCAAGTTTAGCTATATCAATAGAAAAAAAAAATCGCCAAAGAAATTAATATGTCAAACATTATTTCTACTAAATAAGAAGTCTAAATAATTTTTTTTAGTTTTGGGTTCTATATTTATTTTAATTGTTATTTGTTACAACTGTAATTATTTAATGATTTTTTTTTTGTACGTACATAATATGAAGTATTATGTAATTGTTAATTTGAAACCAGTTGTAATTGACAAATATATCAATTCTCCAGGCTAAGCTTTTATTTATTTATATAAACTATTTGTTTATTTATTTATATATTAATAACAACATGTTCATTGTTTTAAAATAAAATTAATCAATATTTTGTAGAAAATTTGATCAACATTTTTTTGGTCATATATTAGATGAAATAAAAACGTCGATGGTAAAGTATTGATTAACTGATAAATTATTTAAAAGTTGCATTTAATAATATAAAATTGAATAAATATGTCCTAAAAATTAAAAAAATATCGAAATATACAATTTATATATACATATATATACAATATATAATTTCTAACTTTTTGAAAACATGAAACGTATTCATTTTGTACTATGCTATTTTTATGATTGTGCAAAACAAATATTCAAATGCACAAGTCATCTGCCCTACTAATAAACTAATATGTATGATAATATAATCATGTAGAATAAAGATAAAAGATTAAATATGATTGTTACACTAACAATTAATGGAAATAAATATTGAGTTTAAATATTAATTTATACAAGTATTTTACTTATTTCACATCAGTCTATATAACTAAAAGGTGTGTTCTCAAAGAGAAAAAATGTTTGAGCTAAAAGTATGACATCTTCTGTCATCTGATGAGAATTTTTCAAATTATAGGAATTAAATTTAGGAATTTGAATATTTCACTAATTTAAAAATATTTTGAATCAATTAGTTATTAATATTATGATAAACAAAGTTACTTAACAAAGGAAAATAATTCGTATTGATGATATAAAAAACAAGATACAACATCAGAGCAAAACAATTAACAAAAGTCTGTAAGTATTAATATTTATAATACAAAAAAAAAAAAAAAAATGTATAGTACAAAATTCTCATTTTATAGGTCTTATGACTTGGAAAGTGAACAATGTCATTGTGTACTGAATCAAAATGAAATGTCACAGTTTTAACACTTCATTTAGTTGGTCCAAGGCATGTCTAAAAATTAAGTAAAATATATTGCAAAATTAATAAAAACTTTTTTAGTTTTAGAGTAAACAATACAAGTATTTTAGCATACTTTGCCTGGGGTTGTGATTTATCTATTTCCATTGCAACTAATTTTGACTGGTTGAAAAATGAAGTTAATTCTTTAGGTGTAGTACTTCCATAACATAACCATACACTGGGTAATGTTCGAGCAATCTATAAGTATTAGTAGTATTTAGAATTTTAAAATAATATACATTTATATAAGGTTGATAAAATAGTTTTATACCATAGTAATTTTTAAAATAGCTTCTAAAGGTTGTAGTGTACGAATAGATGTTAGTAAGTATCTGTTGAGTATTTGATTGATGGCTAAATCTATCAACACTGTATCTTCAATAATTTGATGCCAACACAGTATATTGCCCAACAGTTTTACGGCCATGTTAAATTGTCTTTGAAAAAATACATTCATACGACCGGTATTCATTACTCTAAAAGTAAATAAAATTATAAACATTATTGTAAATATAATATTAATAAATCTAAATATGATAACATTTTGTACTTATACTTAAAATATTTATTAAACTTACTGTCTAGAAGAAATGGGAATAAATACATCGTAATCAACTGCATCTCGAATTCTATCCACTAAATGTGTTAACAGCGACATTAATAATTTACTATCTGGATCAATAGTAGGATATTTTTGCAGTATGTTCATAATAACATTAGATATGTGTTTTGTCTGTGTAAATGAAAGAGGATCCCACTGACTTGTTATCATTTCTATAGATTAACAAAAAAAAAAAAAAAGGTTAAATAATAAGAATACATCATTATATATCATTATTCTTTAAACATGTACATACGATCAATTTTATTGAGCACAACTTTTTCTATTATCTTGGGTATTAATTCTAAATCAACATCTTTTGACAACTGATCCACACTATTCATTCCTTTCATTGTATATTTTTGAACACATTTATACCAAAACATATTCTCCAAATTAAGATCATCCTATAAATATTACAAATTATACCTTTACAGTACACAATTGATTACTTCTATTATTATTATTAGTTTTGATAGCTATGAATAGTAAAAGAAAATGTACTGTTAATTTATACAATTTTATTTATTTATGTTTTTATTTTATATTTTAAATACATACTTCCAATGGATTCCACGTCAGCATTTCAATGCGAACATAAGGTCCAATTAATTTTGGCAAACACACATTGACATATGCTTCTATGTAGCTTTCTAGGTGTTTATCTTTCCATTCCAACATATGTTTTAAAACTAAATCAACTGATGCAAATTCTTCGAGAACATCATCCAATAACAGAGTGGAATCACTTTTTATAATCTCTGTAAAAAAAAATACATAAAATTAAAGTATTTAGAAATTGATCTGAAAATTAATTTAAAATTGCGTAAACAATTGAAATGAGTTCATACCTAGTTGAGATCTAAATGCTGATGCATCTGTTTCAGGAACTTCTTCATCACTAGACATACCATCTGCATGTTTACTAATTGCTTTAATTTCTCTCATTCTCATCCGTCTTATACGACGACCTTCACGTTCTGCAGCTCTTCTTTGTTGCTCTTCAGATCTTGAATTAGTAATTGAAGATGTTCCCAATTCTATTTGCAAAATTAAATTAATATTTTTTTAAACAAACAGTATTAATTATATAATTACTATTATTAGATGCAGCTTCATCTGCTTGATCTCTAACATCTTGTCTTCGTCTTACTGTTAGATCTGTACGTCTTTTCTCGTACAACTTAGATAGACGTTGTTCTAATTCCACAAGTACAGGTGTCTATAAACAACAAAAACTTATTTAATACATTAACTGTATACTGACACCAATTGGCGTCGTGAGTATCAATCAGTAACGTGTTTGATACCATATGGCGTCTAGTGTATATTAAAAGTAAATGGTTTATAACTTGCTACGTGAGGCTGAATGTTATTTTATTATTATTTAGCATGAACAAATGCATGTTTAAAGATATGTATTTGTACAGAGTTTGGATATATGACCATAATATCTATTGATACAACATTAAGTTTATATGATTTCGCTTAATTGTTTTAAGTAAAATATTACCTAAAGTAAAAACACTTTCAAAATCATTGAGTATTGGCAAATATATACCATCTACGCATGAAATAGGCGAAAAGGGGAGAAATTTAAGGAAAAGATGTCTGCTGTGTTACAAAAACAGTATCAGAAAAAATAATATAACTACTATGACGTTTGCCCAAAAAACCAAGTTTGTGTGTTTTAAAAAAATTCAAACGCAATACATTGTATTTTTTGTTAATTTTTAGTTTTCATATAACTATATCAGTAATAATAAACCAAAATTAATTTTATTCATATTTTTTTTAAAAATTGTTTCATACACAATAAATTGTATTTTATTTAATTTTTAATTTTCAGATAATAATAAAAATCAATTATGAGTATAATCAATATTTATGATTATTGCAATACTTGTATATTTTTCATTTAATTTGATATACTTCCTTTGCATCTTTAAAAAAGTCAACAAAAATAACCAAGATGCTATTGAACTCCATGCACAATGTTGAAAAAAAAATTCAGTGACACTAATAACACCAATTGGTGTCATGAAAGTTCATATGTTCAAAGTTGAAAAAATGGTTAATGTGTTATGAATACATACAATTTTTTTTCTTATTACCAAAATTAAATTCTATTTAATTGTTATACGAGTATCTACTAAGTACACATTTTGTATTGTACTTTATTATGTTAAATTTATATTCTGTACTTTAGGCTGAAGCCCGTATTAAAATAAAATAAAATGAATAAAAAAAGTAACATACGCATTAAGTGGGAACTGCTAAGACATATAAAGTCAATGTGTTAAAACAAATAATTATAAATATTTCTTAGAAAAATAAGATTATTGTCTGTTTATATAATGAATTGATAGATGATATTGTTATGTAAGCAGAACAGATATGATTGAGCATTCTTAAAATAGTTGAAATGGACAATTGATGTTTTAAATAATTTATGATCAAATTAAGGATGTTATGACATTCTATAATTTAAAAATATAAAAAATGTATATAAAACTGTATTTTTTTCTAACAAAATTGTTATGGATTTCTTTTTAAATAAAACAAACAATAACTGAACTTTTATGTGTTTTTTTATTTTTAATCTGCAGCAGCTATAACCATTAAATACAATAAAGATAAACACTAGGTTAAGTAAGGAGGTGGCAGGTTTCTTCAATCAAGATGGTTTCGCAAAAAGCAAATAAAAACTACTGACAACTTTACATTTAAACACATCACTTGGCCATAATATCCCTCTCTAGTTTAGTAGTATCTTAATTAATTTCAAATTTAATATTTATATTATTTACTACAGTTTTCATGAACTAATATAAAATATTTTAATATTTATTTGAAACGCCTATTAAAATGTTTTATTTTTACTACTAAAAGTTGAAAATAATAAAAAAATCTAAATTTATATATTTAAAAACAAATTATTATTAAAATAACATAAACATATTATTGGAATAAAATATTTCCAATTATTTCTTTAACAGTAGTTCTTTAATTAGTCTGATAATTGAAATAACATCACTATAACTAGAAAACTCGCCTACCTTTTCATCAAGACATTCTACCAGATCAGTGACGTACCCACGCAAATCTTGATAAAACTGAAAACAATCAGCTAATTCTGGAACATTTTTTTTTAGTATTTCAATTTTATTCTTAATCTCTGGTATTTCATCAGTCATATCTTCAAAATATTTTTGATCTGGAATCCGTTTTTCTTTCAACTCATTTAATCTAAAAATAAATACAATCAATAAACATAAAAACTACAAGAATATTATAATAACTTACATTTCCCTAGTTTTATTGATGATTTCATCGGGGTTCAATAAAATCGTCAATCCTTGAGGAACATAGGAGTCAGGGAAACGAGGTCTTTGATTTATCATTGTCTGTGCAATAGATTGCTCTTGCACAACCATAGACTGAGAAGTAACATTGTTATACATGGCAGCCAAGCCAACAGATTCCTGTTGAGCTGCAGCTAACTGTGATCCAGTAACAGCTTTTCTTATCTGTTGAGTTTCCCAATCATTATCTTCATCAAGTTCATCAGGATCTTCAAAATCACTATTGTTATTAGTACGTTCTAAAAAATGAATATATTTAAAACAAATGTTTTAGTATAAAATAAATACATTATTAAGTATTAATTACCAGCCATAGTAGTATGTAGGCTTTTTTTTCGATCTTCAGCTTGACTCACAATTCCAGACATAACAATTATACCATCATCATCACTATCTTCTATTTCATCTTCTTCTCGAGTTAAACGTCGACCGGTAACTTGTTCATTATCAGCATTGGATTCACTTAAAAATTAATATTATAAAGTAAACAATCTTTATAAATTATTATGATTGCTTATTTTAAAAAAAAATACCTTTGTGGTTGTGTTGATATTGGTATAAAATCTTCTCCTAAATCACGTGCTTGTTGTCTACGTTTTCTAGCTGCATGAATTAAAGCAGCATCAGGAATTTGACCCTCTTAAAATATATTTAAATAATATTTAATAATAATAAACAATTAAATTGCTATAAATATTAAACCCAAGGTTTTTACTTCTTAATAATAGTTTAACTTGATCCGGGTTAGAAAACCTATGTGAAGATGAATTATATGAATCAGGTTCTTCGTCAGATGATATATAGCCAGCCATTTCAGCAGCACGGCCTGTAAGCATTATTTCTTTTTCTAGAGGTTCAGACTGAAAAATCATATTAAATTAAATAATTATTACATTCACAAGCAGTAAAGATAATAAATATATTTACATTAAAATTTGTTTGTTTCTCTTTAATTGGTTTAATTGTATCACTAACAGTTTTAGATTTTTTGCCATTTTCTATTTTGTCTCGACCCATTTTTTCTTTATTCATTTGCTTTTTAATTTTTTTACTATAAGAAGACTTTTTAACTTTAAATTCTTCACCATCATCACCTTTAAAAAAACATCATTAAGTTGAGCACAAAAATTAATACTAAATATAAAAATAATTACATTCATTTAACTCGTCGCCAAAACTCAAAGTGTTTACTTTCTTCAATATTTTTTCTTTAGGTGGTTTTGGTAGCTTAAGTACTGAATCTACCTCTGTTTGTTCCTCATTTTCATTATCATAGAGACCATCAGTGTCTCTAACACGTAAATTCCGTTTGGGTTTTTTAAATTGCATTGCCATTATTACACAAATTAATTAAAAACAAAAAATTTGTAATTTAAAACGTTTACCATGATCTCCAAAAAGATTTAAAACTCAGTATAAATACAAGCTTTATATTGAAATTATAGTTATGGAACACAGTTCAACTGTTCGATGATAACATAATCAATAACAGAAATCAAGTATGACCAATTCACATAAAATAAACTCCCAAAAAATATTTCGACCCGTTTGATAGTTTTTTAAATAGGTACGTTGTCTAAAATTAAATTATTATTAATGATTTTCGATAAACTATCAGGTATTCAAGAAGTTGTTAATTTCCAATAAGAAGTTTTTAACTTTAATCAGGACTCTGTTATTATAATCTATCAACGCTCATTATAAACTTATTATACTTTTTATTATTAAAATTTGGAAATAAAAGAGTAAAATTCAACATTTGTTTCATCTGAAATATATTTGTATGCATTTTTTTCCTTAATATTTAAAATGTCAGATCAACAAATTTCAGAAAAATAATTATAAGATAAAATTAACGGTATTCATCAATTGCGCCAAATTTAGGACACTACCTGTATAGTATACATCTGTTGCGCCGGTATAACAACTATACAATACATGTAAAAATTATAATGGCTAAAAACAAAAATTAAAATTAAAATCAAACTTATCATTCTAAATACTTGGTATTTACACTAATCCTAAAAATTTTGAAAAGTTCTTAGGTCTAATATTAAAATTAGTTATGTCTATTTTACTATTTATTCTTTTGTCATAAATTTAGAGTTTGGTATATTTGTAATAACTAAGAGAACACATATTATGATTGTTGCGTTACATTATTTTTATAACTTTATAAAAAACAAAAATGGACGAGGTGAATAAAAATATTTCCCAAACGTTGAGTGAAATGCCTCACAGGCATTTGTTGTTCTTTTGCCTGATATTTTACACGATAACCAAAGATACGGGGGAAAAGTTGCATTTTCATCATTATATGTATCAATGAGGTAATCGTAAAATGTATTAACTCGAATATCGATCAGCGTAATAGATGTATATCTATAAATTATACCCTTTTTATACCAACGCTACAGATGTATACCTTTTTTTCCATCCCTTAATTTTCCTTTTTTTATCTGCGATTTTTCGACGTAATTGATATAAACTCAAAATTAATAGGGGCTAGGTAAATTGGGTCCGCGATAAATTGGGTACTTTTTGAAAGCAGTAAGTTGAGTCACAAGGAAAAAAAGGTAGTAGGTAAGTTGAGTCCCGGCTAATAATCTGATTTCTTTTTAACAATCTTTGATTACGTTTAATTAAGATAGATATATTATAAGGGCGTGAACGTATATACAATTATGTTTGGCATATTAATTTGTATCAGTTATCATCAATTTTTATAATGATTGTTTTTGATGGATATTTTACAATTATATACTAGATACTTATACCACAGATTATATAAATATATAATATTATATCCATATAATCTGTGTTTATACCTGTACCTCAGCTGATATTAAATTTCTTCCAAATATTAAATACCAGATTTTGGTTTCAATTTTCTGCTACCACCGTGCATACAATCAATAGCTGTGAATCATATAATTTACGATTAAACCGTCGATTTTACAGACCATATCCTAATATTTTAAACTTTATGGACGAAATTCATACTAACTCCACTTTTTTGGATATTATTAATAAAATTAATTTGTTTTTGGCGGGATCCAATTTACGGTAAAAGGACGTTTCGCCACCGAAAAAAAAAACGAGCCCACGGACATTTCGTCTCTGTCTATTATTAAGATAGGACATTTGGCCTCCAGGAGTTATGTAGATTTATTTATACCTACCCATAGGACGTTGGGCCCCTGGAATTTTAAATCACTAAATTTAAATCGTTTTTTTTTAACTTAAAATTTAAATTAATTTTAAAAAGTACAATTGCACAAAAAATTTAAATCCACAATAACTGTATAATGCATAAGCCATACACACCACAATCGACGAACGGCTACAGGTGCGCATCAACAAAAAAAAACTAATTATAGTGATAATAATAATAATTTAAGTACAATAATAATAAGTAAACATAAATTATAAATATTATATGATTATTTATTGCTGTTACATTTATACAAATAATATAATTAAAATAAATTTATATAACTCCTGAAGATCAAATTCCCTATCTTAATAATAAACGGGGACGAAACGGCGGAGGCGAAACGTCCAATTTACCTAGTATTATTTTTTTCTCGGGACTCAACTTACCTACTACCCGGACCCGTTTGCATAGGAGACCAAAGTAATATAATTTTTTTTCAATTAATTATTACTCGAAACTATTGTTATTCAAATATATTATACATTAATCAATTTTTTTTTATAATTCAAAATTATTTTTATACTAACAATTATACCATTAGTAGCCCACATTAGTATAAATATTATTATATCAACGTAATGTTCACCAGTATAGTAGGGTATGATTCTACAGATTACCATACAGATTATTATCATAATTATTCTTATATTTTTTTGTTATAAAAATTATATTTTATCATAATTTAATTACATTTTCTTCTATGAGTTCCTGTCCGTTCCGGATGTTGGATATCATATTGGTAATGTTATTCATGTCAAGTTATGCCCAAAATAAATCTATTGATATTGTATTATACCAGTCGTGGAGATTCTTCATCCAAGATATTCGTCTTCTTCCGACACTTCTCTTTCCTTGTAATATAAGCTGGATTATATTTTATCGTTGATTATTTCTCATAATGTCACCAATGTATTCCGAGCTTTTACTATAGTTAATAGTTCTTTCCGGCGCAAACGAATTGCGTACTTAAATGATATTTTGTCCGAGTTGCGTCCGTGGTTTTACCACGACACATCCTAGTTGTGTCCGCGGTTTTGTCACGACATTCTGAGTTGCATCCGCGGATTTCTCGGGCAATGAGTTTTTCACCAACTGAGATTATTGCATAGATTAGTATATTGTTTAGTGATAAACCTGTAGATAATCTCGATTTTCGATATTTTATCTGTAAATATCACCCTACAATTTATTGTTGGAAATTAATTTTGTTCGTGTAAACGTTAGTCTTACTTCGACATTCCATTAAATTTTGCACCAATTATAATTTATGCAGACTTCGAACAAGCAATACTCTCAGCAGTTTTAGATATTTTTCCTGATGTCATACGCAAAAGCTGTAGATTTCTTCTAGGACAATCAATCTGGAGAAAAAAGCAAAGTCTTGGTCTATCTATCTATAGTTTTTAAAAATGAATCTGAAATTAGAAAATTTTTGAAATTCTTCTTTGGTCATTAATTTTTAAAATCCGATGAAGTTAATAACTGTTTTTACGAAGACCTAATAGCTATAAAGTCTTACGATGAAAGAGTTTATAGCCTTTTTAATTATTTAAAAAAAATTATATTTCGCTAGAAAGTAAATATCAACCGTCATTATGGACTGTTTTCAAACTCGTTAATGCGTACCACCAACGCATATGAATCGTTTCACTCAAAATTAAATGAGATGTTTTATTCATTGTATCCTAATATTTTTCAATTTGTTGAAGTATTGAAACAAATAAAGAGAGGATGCGGAAAAAGAAGAATTTATTAAAAAAAATTATGACTGAGTTTGAATGCATAAATGATATATATTTATATTACATGTCGCGAAAAAAATCGTGGACGCAAATCGGATATCACGATGTATATTTTTGTATTTTGGGACGCAATTCGTATGCAGCCGTTCCTTCTCTTTATCCATTCTTTCCAGTACCTATTGGTTAGTATCTTCAATTTGTATTATTGTCGATTGTATTATTGGTGTTTTATGGAATTTTTCTAAGAATATTCATAAGTTTCAAACCAGTTAAGCGCGCTTGTCCCATTTGATTTCTCAACCAAGTTTTCAATCTAATAAGCATAAAAAAGCAAAGAAATAATAATAAAGCAAAAAAAAAAAAAAAACTATACATAAAAGCTTAAAATATAAAAATAAATACCTATATTTAATATTCATTCAACACATAACACTCATTATTAAAAAAAGTATTAACTTTAATTTGAACTTTCTTTTGGGAAATAAATTCAAATATATAAATCTTGAATATTTTAGAAGAATTATATTTTCCTTAATTGAGTATCAACTTTTGATTTTTAAATGACAGCCCTTATTTTTAATACCAGAAATTTATAAGGATATTTTTTTATGAATTAAAATTTAATTTATAAGAATAATATTCTTCTATATTTCCATTTAAAAATCAAAAGTTTAAAAACAAGCCACTCTAAAATTCAAGATTTTAGTATTTAAACTAATATTCATAAAGAAAATTCCAAAAGAGTTAATAATATTCCAAATATAGATATATATTAATATAGGTTTATATATAAGTATATATTTGCAATTTATGATTTGATATTAGATTTCTCCAATGCTTATAATTACAACCATGATTGAACTAAATTTTATCCATGAGTATGACTAAATACTAGAAGGGCCACATACCACCATATTATGTATACCACCAATATGATAACATGATAATACTTGTTTTATTTCAAAATGACAATATATCTTATGACTTTACGGTGTACTTTTATTTATTTTCCTAGTCTGATATATATTTGTAAAAAAAAAAAAAAAGGCCATGGGAGGGACGATTGCTCCATTCGCCTCCCTCTCTTGTAGTCGCTCCTGGTTGGCCAACAATTTCCTTTCACAGTTCATCAAAAACAATGATTCAAAACTATCTTGTGCTAAACAACTTCTTAAATGTATTTTTATAATTTTAAATTTAGAAAACGATCGTTCACACGTTACTTGTGTAAGAGGAATTGTTAAAAGACAATCTTTAAATAATCCATTATAGTCTAAAGCAGGAGTGGCGAACCTATGGCACGTTGACCAAATTTTAATGGCACGCGCAAAAAATTTAAATTATTAAAAATTGTACACAAAAAAAATATATATATACTATTTATAAAATGTTGGTTGTAAGAAATTCAAATAAATAAATTATATATGTTTTAAAAATTACAATATTCCTTCTGCTTTCATATTTTTCATCAACTTTAGTTTTTGAAAGCCTATTCGCCATAACAAATTTAATTTAATTTAATTAAAACGGAAAGAAATGTTTTAACCTATGAACAATTGCTGGTTATGTTTTATTAAGAATGACTAAAATTTAATATTAATAATATAATAAATTTGTAATTTTATTTTTATTCTTAGAAAATATAATATTCTTTAGGCACGTCAACAATTTTCAAGACCTAAAAAGGAAAATTTGGTAGTTGAACGAAAAAAGGTTCACCACCCTTGGCTTTCAAGAATACATTTTGAACTCATACATAACATTTGTTATGTATAATAAACATGAATTACATTTTTTTCTTGTACACATATATGTGTATATTACTATAATTTTCCCGAGAATATTCAAAATTATCGTTGATAATTATTAGATAATCCAAGTAATTTATAATAACTTTATTATACACAAATACTGTCATAGTATACCATGTACCCGCATGGCGTTTTATCATGTCTAGCGCTCTTATTATAATTCACTAGAATTATAAATAACAATTATTTGTTTTTGATGAATATAATATATACTAATTATACATCATTTATAATCAATGTTAGTATGTATAAGTATAAAATAGTTAAATATGATTGAAGCTAGTAGTTATACGAGTAGTATACTAAAAATTGCATTATTAGTAAATAATCAACGAAATTTATTATTTGTCCTTTATATAATTTTCTTTCTTCAATTATTCAATTAAAATTGTTAAAAATAATAAAATTACTGAATTTAACTGAAACTACAGGTATCTATTTGATAAAGGGCTCAGGTCTTATAATTTTTAAAAGGGCCTACCGGTATTTTCCCGGTATTCCAGTGGGCCAATACGCACCTGACTCTGACTACAATGAAAACAATATGAGTTTTTATGAGTTACTTTAAAAATTAAATTCTATATATCTTGGCAAAATTTATAATTGTAGACGATTATTAAATTGTGGTAAATATATATTTAAATTGTACTTACCTTCATACGTACATTCCATTGTACTCATATATAAAAACGCAAAAAATATAATTTTAAAAATTAAAATGTGCTTGTAATCACAGCAAATTGAAATAAACACGGTAATAGACAATATGGTTCAAATTATATACATTTTGAGCTGTCTAGAGCTATTAATAATATTTATGGCTTTAATTTTTATTATATACTTACTTAAATTTTTAAATTTTATACCATTAAAATATGTACAAGATTATTATTATTATTTATTATTTTACTATTTTTATTTAGGAATCCACAATCATTTTTAGAATTTTTTAGGCAGTCTGGCAGAAAATTAATTCAGGAAATACTGCCCCAAAATAATTGATTTTTATAATATATCATAAAATATTTTAAGTTATTCTTTAGTTGACTAAAGGTGGGTGAATCTTTAATTTCTTCACAATATAAATAAAATTAGTCGTTATAATTATTAGTCCAAACAATAAATTTATTTTAATTATTAATCTAACACAACTTTTTAATAACTTGTTTCTTACAAAAGACGATGTACAATAAATGTATAGTCTGTTGCTTATTTAACCTATGGATCTTGTATTATTCGAAGTAAGTCCTTCCCGTATGGTTTTTCGTTTCAGACATACTCGAAACGCAAAACCTACAGCTCTGCACAGTCGATTACTCTAATTACAAAAGACATTTATTATTTATCAAGCACAAATATAAATTCTAAAACATGGTAAATCAGAAAAATACATACCGATAATTGTTTGTTAACAACAAACAAATGACATAACCATCGATTGTTATAAGTATCTCTGCAAGTGTAGAAAAATTGATCTTGGTTGTCTATGGCTGATGCACAAAACACTATATTTTCAATGATTTGAGCTAAAATTAAATTCTAAACATAAGAAATTTAAATATTAAATTAAATTGATTTGGTTATTTTACATTCTAAATACAAAAAGATAGATAAATATTAATAAAAGTTAAACAAATAAGAATAACATATCCAATAACTAAACTCCTTCAATTTAAAAAATAATAATAATAAAGGAGTATATAGCGATAGCTCGATATGTATACATATTTTTACTATCTTCATTGATTTTTATTTACCTTTGATTTTTTTTCTACAATTCTTAACTCATACCCCGTAATCCACAATAAGGCTGGATTCGAAAAGCAAACATCTGTCATATATTTCTGATATAATTTTACAAACGATGCATGGCATATTTTTGAATTTGACGGGTCAGAAACTTCAACGTTTCCTAAATACTAAAAAATTGTATATTTATTACTTTACGATTTAACTAGACTTATTAACAAAAATCGGGGTTTAAAGTATTTTTTCAATATATAATTTACCCAAAAATATAACCAAGTATATAGAAAACAATTTTGTTTTTCAATTTGAAAGGAATTTGATTCAAAATTGTATATTGTACAAGTTGGTAGTTAAAAATATAGTCATAATTAAAATTAGATATTTATTTAAATTATTTGTGCAAATTTCATTAAATAATTAATTGAGGATAAAAGTAATACAAACATTTAGTTTTTATTAATAAAAGTGTGTTATATAAGTATAGTGTAATAAAAGTGGTAATCGAATTTCATAATAATTTTTATTTAAAATTTTAAAATTTACAATTCTACGTCTTCGTATTTAAGGTGTTATAATTATATACTCCCATCATCTAATATAATCTATAATCATTAAACAAATTAATTTTTAATGCGTAGTACTTAAAATATTTGTACATTTTATATTTTATTTCATAAGTTCTAAGTAGAGCGCTGATTTTATAGGCGTTAAAAACCAACCAAATATGAGCTAAAAAAAACCCTAAATATGCATAAAAATATACAAAAATAATCGCTAATAACGTTTCATTTTTTAAATTGTTATGTTATGGAACAAATTTTGTGCTCACTTAGCTTATCATATGATTAACCAGAATAAATATGCAAATGAATACACATCCGTGCTCTAGTTCTGAGTAAGTAAATATTAATAGGTACTCTTTATAATTAATCTATAGAAATTCAAGTCCTACTTATAATAGGTTTATGTATTGTAGTACTAAATTACGTCAATATCAAAAGAACAATTTCCATCCAGTATGCCGATTTCATCTTGAGGCCATCGATTAATTGAATTGTCTATAGCATCTTGAAAAGGTCTTCTACAATAGTATGACATTTGGGAAAATATCTAATTTAAAATACATAAATTGCTTTATTAATCAAAATATGACAACTTATATTTAATGATAATTTTCTTATAATCACATATTTATAGACTTTTCTATTTATAGACTTCAGTATATTCAGTATATTCAACTTAAAATTTTGATTAATTTGATTATGCACTAAGTATGTCAATAGAAATATGAATTAAATAAACATAGACATAATAAGTATGTATACAATACTATACATAAAAACTTAGAACACATTATAAATCTGTAAAATTGTTAGAACAATTTTATTATTTTATAATTACATATGTATCAAATATTTTGTCGAACGCAATAATCATTCATCGTTGCCATAATAGTTATATGCACTATTCACTCACTCATTAAAGTTATTTTTTTTTATAAAATAATAACAATTAAATATCATGTAATCATAAAAAAAACTTATTTATTTATATAAATATTAATTTTAAAAGCTGACAATATATTATATATTTATGTCACGTTCACCGTGGAATATAGGCAACGTATAAAAGTGCGCCAGGATCATGTATTTCTAAGGATTTATTAATATTTAATTATTCATGGATTATTCAAACGATTCCAGCTCATAGAATTAATTTTTTTATTATCACAAAAAGTGTGTTTCTAATTAAAAGTTATTATTCATTTGTTTTCCATGGAGTTTTTATCAGTGGTTGAGTCCGCGATAAAATATTAACATTTTATCAATATTATACAGGCACTGCAGATAATTTAAGTAGTATAATTTTGGTAGATAATTGTTGTTATATCCTTAGGTATAACCATAGATTGCATGATAGATTAATTTAGGTATAACTAAATAATATTTTGATAATTTAAAAATATTATTGAATCATTAATATAACTATACAACTGTATATGTACATAAGTACTTATTACAGACAAGCCAAATAAGGTAATTATGTTACGTATAGGTCTAACTACACGTGTACGGTTAATAAACCTCAATTGTTCTGTTTTCAATTTAATTTGTCTGAATAAAATAAAAAGTTGTGATAATGTAGCGTAATTTATTACAGTACGAAATGAACGAATCTAGTATTCAAGAATTACAAAAAAAATAAAGAATTAATATGACGCAGTGTTATGGAAAGTGTTTTTAAATAAATTTGAAATTGTAGAAAATACAGATTCACAAAATTGTGATTTATAAAATCAAAAAAATAAAAACGGTGTCCAATGCGCGACTGGTAGTAACTACTCGGTTCTAAATATTGTCAGTAGTACGCCGATGTCTATTAAAGAGTGACGTACCAACATGTCTGATAATGAGTTACTGTACATTTTAAATAATAATAAATTAATTCTACATTTACTAGAAGATGAATTTGAAGAGAATGAAGTATTATTTTTATATTTAATGCTTAAAAAAAAGTAATTATTTTAAAACCAAGATACTGAAGGATATTTTAAAATTATAATAAATAGACATTTGTTCAAAAATGACGTTAAATTTTGGAAGTTTTTTGGTATTAGTCGCAAACAATTCGATTTTTTGCTATCGTTAGTTGAATTGGAACTTACAAAATTACCATCAAGGAAAGTAAAAGATCCCATTTTAACGGCGGAAAAATTGGCAATTACCTTGAGGTATGCATTTAAACTACTAAATAGGTTTAGATAGAAAATATAAATATAACATTTAAAATAATTTTTTTTTATTTATGTAAATAATTGACTACGGGTGAATCTTTAACATTTGGTTATTGAATTTGTCACACCTATATAAGTAGAATTCTTAAAAAAAAAATTGGTTGTATAAAAGCAAAATCAATACAAATATTTTTGAAAGACCCAAAAAGTATACAGATATATACCATTACGATAACCTATATACACGTTTATTGTTTAATTAGGAATAATATGTGTTATGACAGCTATTAGTCTAAAGACTCATAAAATAATAGTTACTCTATGTAGAAACAAGAGTAGCAGGCATAAAAATAAATAAAAACCAATTTTTAAAATTGAAAAATATTAATATTATTAAAAAATATTTTAAGAGACCTTAATGATTGCGTGTAGCTAAGGGTTAAAATGTTTTCGTTTATTTTTAAAACATACTTTAATGCTTAATTCACTGCTCTCGTTATGGTATTGTCGAGGGTCGCGACGATAAAATATCTGTCGCGCGTTGCATTCACGAGTAGGACGCCAGTCAATGGAAAACGCAAATAAACGGTAGAACGTGATCGGTCGCACATTGGACACCGTATCTAATATGTGATTCCTTAGGACACGACAGTACCGTGCGACTCGTGCAGCTGACGTAGCGCGACCGAAATTTCGGCCGCACATTACTGGTTTTGCCATTTTCATAGAGAATAGTTTCCCTACACCGCTGCAGCTGCGCACGACGAACGCATGTGGCTGTCAATGCGCGACTGCGACCGCTCCGGAGAAAGTTAAAACGCACCAAACCGTTGACCATAATGTTGTAAAGTCCTTCAATTTTTCTAGTGAAAAACAAATTTGTGTTGCATAATTTAATTTCATGTTCGATTATTGTTTCTTCTTTGTTTATTTCTTCTAAAAGAAGTAGTTTGATGAGCATTTTTTTTCTGACTTCGTAACATGTCTAGTTTAATAATAAAATATATTTCACTAGCATATATTATAAAAACACCATTAACTTGTTAACAGATCAAACGTGCCTGCGGACTAGCTGTCCACGGCGCGTCGACATTTGTTCTGTAGGGAATTCGTTATTCAACGGTTTGTGCGGTTTGTGCGACCAAAATCTCAGTCGCACGAGTCGCTCAACTTTGCTGAAATGTAACCTTCACCGATAACCAGGCATTACTATACTATTCTTTTGATCTATGCTCATTGACTAAATAAGAATAACTTGTTATAATTATTAACTTATTATTTAAAGATTTAAATAATACAAATTACTATTTATCCAAAAATTTTAATTAATCGTTTTACTCTTACAGTATCAGGCATCAGCTGAACATAAACATAAACTTATATATATTTGTCTTTGCCAAGAAAACAAGCAATGTCTATTATTTAATTACCATTGACTATATATTGATAGACTAGACTACATAATTCTATAATCAATAATACAAAATATTTGTATTATTATAATAAATAACAATCTTCTACTTATGTTGCAAAGCCTAAGTAGGTACCGCTACTTATGAAGCAGTATATTCCATTAAATACAAATAAGATATAATACGAACAGAAATTTGAAGTGGTGTTGCTAAATTCCAAAACCACTTCTTAATTATTCCTAAATCTTATAAATTGTACTTAACACCTTTCTGTATAATTTCTAGCTATATTTATATGGATATATACATATACGCAGTAGGTATTTATTTATAACATAATCATGATAATTACAGACATTTGCCGGATTATGAAATATTTAATCAAAGTAAATAAAACTAACAAAAATTCCAATAGAATTGTAAATGTTAAATGTTAATAGTATTTCACGTGTATTGCTTAGGTAAATAGCAATTGCACAACATTTAATAGAATTTATATATAAATATTTTAATAAGATGATTTATAACTACACCAAAAAAATCCACTTCAATAATATTATATTAAATTTTAAAAGTTATGATTATGGTCATGTTTTCCTTTGAACTGAAATCGGTTTGTTTCAACTTCCAAGTTATTCAACTGGAAAAATTCATTACAATTCGCGAAAATAAGGAACTGGTTTTTTTGTTCTGCATTACTACTAGTTCACATCAACAAACAAAGAATTTAATATCCCATTTACCTCCTCAAAACTCAGGAAACATTTTATTGCTATTATTATACTTGCTTTTAATATCATTAAAAATATTAATATTATGATACATCAACCAAATTAACTACTATAAAAAATAATAACATATTAATAATATGGATATGTAAGTATAATATAAACTTTGTATGAAAAAAGTTTTTTTTTAATAAAATCATTTTTATATCAATAGAAAAGAGTTCCATGATATTTGTTTGAAAAACATTGGTATCCGACATTTCATTGAAAAAGAATAAATTAATTCTACGTATCGCTCCCATAAGATTGAATAAAGTGCTGCATTAAACATAATATACTATAAAACCATATGGAACCTCAAAATACAATTACTCATTGTATCTATTTATTTGTGACTGTGTACAGCGTCACTGACTTACTAAGTATAACGCAATATAACACACAAAAAAATTAAATGCAAATGAAAATGCGTTATAGTTACCAATATCTGCAAACTGAAAATGGTCACGACCTTGTATAGGAGACTTTAGATTTTAACGGAGAAAATACAAAGAAATCTTGTACATATGTGCATATGTATTGAATTTGTATGTCGACGTAGACGACACAAGAACAAAATAATACGAATTTGGCCTGTGGATGGGTATTTAAGGTTATTAGCTACAACTCAACCAACTAAATATAACAATCGTTTACTGCAAACGCGGAGAAAATATCCAAGAGAAATTCGTAACCGGTTTTCTCCTACCCGAGTGACTTAGGTATCAGTTTCGAATGCAATTACACGGTTACCAGAATACCATAATCTATATATCCCAGGGTTTATCTTGCATTCTTTATACATAAAACAGGATTTTAAATAATGTAAATTTCTACATAAACGAGTAAAGGATATTAATTCATGACAAAAAATATGAAAATTCACTCTAGTCTGTGCTTTTATTTCACACAATTAGTCGTGCGTTTTAAATATAATACAGTGGGTCGAAAAAGTTTCCGTATACTGATGTTAATTTTTTTCCATTACAAATAATGATAATTAAAATTATGGATCAACATATATATTTAAACATTTTGAGAAATAATTTACATGCCAGTGCTGAAAAACTAAACATTGGCAATTAGTTTAATTTTTAAAAAGATAACGACCCAAAACATAGATACCGCAAAAAAAGTTAAAGAATGTTGTTATAACAAGTGTGTTATACACCTCCAAAATCACCAGACATGAATCCGATAGAACATTTATGAGATGAAATAGGTAGACGTCAAAAAATTATCGAACTGAAACAAAAATCAATTGATAAATGCAATATATGAAATTGGAACAGTATTGGCTCTACTGTTACAATAAAATTAGTTAAATCAATGGAAGAGCGAATTCACGAAGTAATTACAGCTAAAGTAGGACCAACTGACGATTAATTATATTGAAGTAATAATAATTATTACTTATATTGTATAAAGTTAAAAATATTTATGTTATGTTGTATGGAAACTTTTTTGCTGTTATTTGTCTACATTAATTTATAAATATATATATAAATAATAAAATAATTAATATAAATGCTTTATATTTCTAAAAAAATAATTTTTATGTGTTTCCTAATAAATTGTTGTTAAAAATATAAAGTTATTCAAATTTTTAACTATCATTATACGTAATGGAAAAAATGTATCAGTGTATGGAAACTTTTTAGATCCACTGAATACCTGATTGTCAGCTAAAAATGTGTCTGTTAAAAGTAGTTTTAGCCTGTTTGATATTTCGATAATACAGTACTTCTTTGATTTCAACGTTTTATTTGGTATATTTTGAAATTAAAATAATGTTAATAAGACTTATATTACTGTTAATTAATATAAAATATTATCTATACATTTTTCAAATAGAAATCAACTTAAAATTAGTTTAATAAATTATTGATGATCCGATTTATAATGATAATAAATCAGATCATCAATAATTTGTAAAAACTAATTTCATATATATATATATATACACACATACATTTATTTATTTATAGTATAATCCATAAATTAAAATTTATTAGCAGGTATATAAAATGTAATTCCATACCAAATAATTGTCTTACACTGGATTTTCTTTATTTTCGGTTAAAATATTAGTTTTTTTTTTTTAAAATATATGAATGCATTTGTTTTCGGAGCTCATAATAACCAATTTTAATTAATTAAATTAATACTGGTTAAATTATTACAACACCATTGGTATTATCTAATAAATAATAACTAAATATTTCTAATATACTCACATAAAAACGAATAATATTTTTATATTTATATATAATTTATACGACAACAATAATTAAGTACAAAGGTTCTTAGGCAGCTAAAAATATTGTCTAAAGTTTTCTAATAACTTGTGTATAATATTTACCACAAAGCAAAAACAAAGAGAGAAGGATTTTACAAAAATGTTCAATTTTGTTATTAAGTACATGAAATCATAGTTAATTCACTTAATTTTGGTCAAAATATAACCAATAGTAATTAGCATTGAATAATACAATTATAACAATAATGTTATTAAATTTTTCAGAGGCCACTAATAATCACAATAATTGTATAAAATAATTATCTCTTATCTGAATGTCTTCAATATTTAGTATTAGTCTTTTTATAAAACGTCAGTTAGACACAAGAATTATTTTTAATTGCACTTAAGCCATTTAAAAACAATAATGTCATCTTGATATTTAACATAAGTTTAAGCTATCTAGTTGGTATATATTATTTCTCAACAAAAACATCAACAATATAGTATACCTATTAACATAATGTTAGTATATTGTATATAATAATGTTCCTTGAATATATTTTAATATCCACATATCCTAAAATACAACCACCAATCATTCCCATGTGGATTTGGCAAATAATAACAATAGAAAAAAAAAAATCGTATACCATAAACATATAAGGTGGTGCATAATTAGTACGTATTAATCAATACGGCATATTAAATTAAACTGAATTTTAACCAAGTGTTAGCTACATTAAAACTATTTTTTTTTTTTACAAAGATAGTTGTTGTTCCTGAAAATAATTAAATATTTGTACAAATTATAGTATCTAATATAATTAACACTATATGTAATACATTTAGTTAGTAATAATTTATACATAATAATATTGTTTTATTTTTTAAAAATTGTTTAAGAAAATATAATACAAACTAAAATACTAACAAGTAATACATATACATATATTTTAAAATATATTTATAATCATTAATATTGATACTACTGTTATTAATAAATATTATTATTATTTTAAAATAATAATAATTCTCATGAGTAAAAACATTAGATTTTCCATAGTTTCTATGAGAGCGTAAGTATAATGCTATGTTACCACAAATATTTGCATATAATATATTTAAAAAAAATAATTATAAAAATAATAAAAATAATAATGATAATAATAATAATAATAGTAAAATAATAATAATGATAATAATATTTATAAACATTGTTGTGTATCAATAGAAAACAAATAGCCTATTGAATACACAAATATCACAGAACACGCAATCCCTATTTAATTTGAAGCTATAAGCGTTTTATTTCAAATGATAATACATATATATATATACATACATACACATATATATATATATATATATATATGCTGTACCATATAATTTTGAAAATGAACAATTTAAGAGTATTTTTAAAGCAATATGAATAAAACCAAAAGCGAAAGGAAAGAAAGAATATAAAAAAATATAAAATCATTAATGATCAAAACTGAAAATTTTATAGAAGTACAGTATTTTGTGTCAATTAAAATAAGCGCAAAGAAATTCTTTTCAATCTAACAGATATATAGAAGAAAAAATACATCAAAATGTTGATCTTCAAAAAAAAAAAAAAAAAAAATTATAAATATACATTTTATGTTTGCGGTTAGTAATAACCTATTATATTATAACTTTTTTAAAAAACTGGCAAATATTTAGGACTTTTAAAAATAATTATATTAACAGTATATTAATTGAGTTATTCATGCATTTATAACAATTCACTTAATAATCATATTATTAATTTTTATATAGCCAATACACATATTTATAATTTTAAAAATAACAAATTATGTTTTAATAAGTAATTTAAACTTTCATGTAAGTGAACTATTTTCCCTATATGTGTGCATAAGTTAAAATTCGTTGGTACCCTTAGCTCATAGTTATAAATACAAATATTAATAAGAAATTCTACATGTAACAACAAACTATGGTATTTTCATGATAAAAAAATATTGATATGTATAGGTTACAAGTAAAATGTATATAAATCATTTTTAGTAATTTAATTGTGCATTTAAAGTTTATATTAATATTATTTATTTATTATAGACAAATATAAAAAAATATTATTAATAGTTAATGTATACCTTGACCTCATTTTTGATAACTAGTCAATAAACTATAATCAGGGCTAAATATATGTAAGTATTTTTTTGAAAATATGTATATTTTTAGTATTATATTGTTATCATCATTTTAATCATATGAATTTTGAATATAATGATGTTTTATTCAAAATAGAAATACTGTAGTAGTTATGACAATACTATTTAAATATTAAATACAATATTTTATTATAAATGCACTTTGCAATACTGAGCTTATTTTTAAAAATTAAAATGAAAATTATTAGTACTGGAAACAAATTAAGTCATTCATAAATGTCAGTTTTTGATTTTTTTTCTTTGTAATAACATACAATAAACTAGTTTAAATTAGAGAAATAAGAATTAATTTAAATACTAATTGCACATTTTTAAATTCAATCTGAAATTATGGTTAGCATATATTCATCTTAACAATATCCAATAATCCAAGTTTTTTTACCCAACATGACCAATATAATCTTTAAAATTTAATTGAACTTATGAGAACAATTTTGTTAATTATCACATTTGAACTTCAAAGGATTTTACAGTTTTACTAGGACCATTTGATATAGGACTGCTTAAAAATGGATTGGTATTTTGTTTGGGAGCAATATAGTTAGGGTCAAAAGGATTGGCTGAAACGCTATTAAATTTTGTCCGATAGACATCTTCAGCTGTGTCTAACGAGTATGCACGACTGTGAGTTGCTAAATGTGGATTCCTTTTAGGTGTTACTTGAGGATCCATTGACTGTAATGTGACTGCTGCAACTTTTCCTAACCACTGTTCTGGCCTAGGAAGTGATGATGGTGGGGTAGCCGGTGGAGTTGGCGGTGTTACTGCTTTGTTGTTTACATTCCATAAACTGGAACCAGAATCAAAACCTTCGTCTTGTTGTGGGCTAATTCGACTTTCAGGTTTTGGAGTGGAAGGGTTACTTTGGGTTTCTGATAATATGGCTCTTTTAGAAATACTAGCAAGAAATGCTTCACTTCCAGTTATAGGGCCTTGCTTCAAGGAGTTTTCTAAAGTACAAACATATTGCATTATAATGTTGTAGATAAAACTTACTAATTATCCTACCTATACTTTTTGGATCATTCAGTTTTAATTTCTCAGGAAAATCTTCGTTGGCTGTACTATTTGTAAGGAACGCTAATTCTAATGACATTTGTTGACACATAGCTGTTACTTGATCTGTGGTAGACATTATTTTTTCACTACGAGGAGATGCTTCTAATATAGGACTCACTAAAATTAACAAAATTATTAATATCTTATCTCAGTTAAGATATGCTAACTTTATACCTGGATTATTAATTTGTGTAAGTCTATTAGAAGATGAACGTGAATTTCCTGTTGGTTGTAGACTCATTGATCTTGTTCTTTCCAAATTGGATGGCAATTCAGATATTCTAAGTGATAACTGCCTTTTAAATGGAGATGCTTGATTGAGTTGTGTGAACCCACGAAAAGATCCTTGTCGTTGTAACATGGATAAAGTTGCATGAGGTCTTTCAATTGCCTTAGTGCTAACTTTAGGAGTTGTAGGGTTTTGTTGCAGTGGCTTAACTGATGTAGGTAAATCTAAAATAAATACAATCATATTTAAGCCATTTATAAGGTCTAAAATTACCTAGTTTGCCCAAAAATAAAACTGGTAATTAGCCATGACTAATTAGTAATTAATAATAAACATATTTTTGGATTTAACACTTTTAGAAATATACCTTTATTTGGTTGAAGAAATGGAAGAGGTTGTGGAGGTACATTGAGAGGAATATTAGGTTCAGATTGTTGTTCAGTCAAAGATGGAGTTCTAAAACTTCCAGTTCGTGTGAAAACAGATGTTTTTGGATCATAATTCATTGTAACAGTACAATCTTCTTCTCGTTTATTTTTTCTAATCAGACATTCTTGAAAAGCACAACCAACAGCATGACTCAATCGATCACCCTAAATAAGTTGTCACAAGTTAATTAACATACAGAGTTAAAATATCTTTTATTTTAATTTACCGATTCTTTAAGAGCTACAAAACCATGGCACATCCATCGACGAGTTAGACCATCACGACAAATATAAGAAAATCCTTTTTCGTGACTTCGATCAGGAGCACAAAATGAAACTTTCTCAATTGTTTGATCTACTATTAAACCCTTATAAAAATAAATAAATAAATAAATAAAGAATAATTAATATAAAATGTATTATTGATTAGCTAATTACTTTAGTATCCTCTTCTACAACTCGCAATCCATCACCTGATATATAAAATATAGCTCTAACTGGTCTGCGACGCGACGCCTAAATTAAAAAAAAAAAAATATATAAAAGCATGTTAAATAATTAATAATAATATTTAATAATGACATTACCCGTAATGTTTTTAAAGCTTCTTCGCATACTTCCATTCCTCTTGATTCAAAAACTTCAACGCAGCCCAAATACTGACAAATAAAAATATTAAATTTAATTAAATACCTAATTTATAACTTTTTGTATTGGTAGATATTTAATTACCTACTTATTTTAATTATGAAGACAGTTCAAATATTTACCTTAACATGAAAGGAACATATTCCAGCACGAACTTCGGCTTCGTCCATGGCCCACAAATGAGGTTTAGGATTAGAATGATGACCTGGAGATCCGGCGTGATTTCCTAGATCTTTACGGCGTCTGAAACTGTCTCGAAAACTTCGCCGTAAACGGTCCATTTTTGACGGCGACCGTCCACTCTAAAATTTTAGATATAAGCTTAAAATTGATAACATTTTAAATTTACGAAAATAACAATGATACAAAATATTTTTTGTAATTTTCAATCAACATTATATAGTGTAAATACCCATAAGTGACAATACTATGTTAATTTAACAAATTGTTATTGAGTAATATATAACCGTTACACATTTCAAGCAGTTAGATAAAACATTATAAATACTAAGACAAACAGCCGTAAATAATATACATATATGGTTATTAAAACGACTTAAGTTAACTGATAATTAAAGGTACTCGATACACAGAACTGCAACACTGTGATGCCTATGAAAGATCGAAAATAACAAAAATAGGTAAGTGAAACGAATTGTTATACCTTATCAGTTTTAAGTAAGTTATATGTTTATGAGTATATACTTATAATTTATTAAACAGTAGTTTTTATGATCTGTTTTTCTATTACAAAAAAAAAAAAAAAAAAAATATAAAATAATAATTAATCAAACATAATATAAATATTATAGATAAGTTGATAATAATCACTGTTGAATACTAAATGTTTTTATAAATTATTCATTACACAAATAGATGTTTCATTTAATAAATTTAAAATTGTAAATACCAACTTCTATAAATAAATCTGTAGGTTTTGAATATTCACAATTAATTTGGTTAAAAACATAGACATATAAACCTAGGTTAATATATATATGTTATAAATGGTTATAAATAATAAACCTTGGTTTACTTTTAGTTTTACCAATCAATTATTATGCCATAAATTATTTGTTAATCATAATTTGCTATGGTAATACATTAAATAATGATAAATATATGTATGAATACCAGGAACTACTAATATATACTATCAAGTATACTGTATTTTTAAAGTAAAATCCTTAAACCTAAAACATTATTAAATTATAAAATGTAGTAAAAACAAAAATTTAGGTAGAATAATCTTCGAAAACTTGATTAAAAAATAATCTGGTATCAAAAATAAGCGTTGTTCATGACAACTTTGTAATGCGATATGCGACTTTTATTAAAACTATCTTTAGACACGAACTCGCTTCAAATATTTGAAAATTGTAAACATAAAATTGAACAAAAAATATATATAGTTTTACAATAAATGAGGTATTATTTTATGCTAATGTGATTTTACTTAAGTAAAATAATATTATGATTACATAAAATTACATGAAGTTAATATTTTATTTCTTCTATAACTAATACCATTGATTATAAATACTATAATTCTAAAGCAAGAGTATTTATAATCTATGAAATACTAAGAAAGAGTTTTGATAATAAATAGTATAATTTTATGTTCAGAGCTAAATAATACCGTACATGATTTAATAATGTCATAGAATCTAATCTCGACTGATAATTAGATCGTCTTATCTTTTTGAATTACTAAAACTTTAGAATCGAATGCATTCATAATATGAACAGGAATTATTTGAAACAAAACTACGCCTTGGAGGCATGTATGATGAAACGTCGCTTTTCATATCACCTATATAATAAAGGTACAAATATTTCTTTAAAATGTATTTCATTAATATCATATGTCAACTGGTGTGCATGAACAATTTCATTATAAAATAGTTTATCGGTTCAACAATCGTATTATCAAAAATGCAATTAAATCATTAATCAATTATCAAAATCCAAATGCACAATACGATGTATACAACTAGCTGTATTGTGAGATATGTCTCTTAGTAATAGTAATAAGTAATTTAGTAATAGTTATTAATGTTTAAATAAAATAAATTAAACAGTAGTTCAAATAAAAATATTAAATCATTAATTAAGAAATTTAGTGTTGGTTATGTTTTTATACACTGTATATAATATATTAATAATACGTTATTGACGAGAGACAAAGAAACACATTTAATGTCAATGAAAAATAACCATGTCAATAACGAGACAGATGTATAATAAATAAAACGATTAAAAAAAAAAAAAAAAAATTTATCTCGATAATGAGCGAACACATTTTATTCCTGTGCCGACTAAACAGCAACAATTGGCGGGTACACCTACATGTGCTTAATTTAGTTTCCTTAGCTGCACCCTTACCTACATGTGCTTAATTAAGTTTCCTTAGCTGCACCCTTTTCCAAACGTTATATACAATATTATTTTTCATCATTGACGGCTAAGACAAGGCTAATAATTCGACGACGGGAATTCGCGATAAAAATAAAAATAAGAACAATTGCTACTTGATCACATTTATACACAATTTGTATACGTAAACAGGATATAAAAAAAAGTTCAATATCAGGCTTTTAATTTTTTTCTGTTCAACGAAGAAAACGTTTATAAAATAATATTTTCAATTTAATTCAATCACGATATCGTATCGGCTGGAAATTTCAACTATAATATGCAAGAACTCTATATATATATACCATACACATTATATATAATATTATCTTATCTGTCTTAGCAGGTGTCATTTTTTAATCAAAGCTCTCTGTTAAGTACTGTTCCTATTTTATACATGTACCTATTTTTGAAAAATTCCAAAAAATTGGTGGAACATAAAAAAGTCTAAATATTTCACTTTTAAAACTGATCTAAGGTTTATGGCAAATTAAAAGATTCGGAGGTATTGTTTTTTGTAAAAAACGAAATCAGGGAAAAATTATCTAGAAATTATAATAGTTTTTAAAACTAATTATAATATTTCAAGGGACGGCACACGATTCTGCATACAAATTGTTGCGACGTTGCCAGTTTTGAGGAAAAATTATTATAGTAATAATACTTATAGTAATATTAATATTAAATAAAACAAGTTATTAAAAATAAATTTTATGGTAAAATGTATTTCAATTTTGTCGTAAATAATACTGTAGTTTGGTTTTTATGCATAAATATTAAATATATATATTCTATTGTTGAAGTAAAAATAAAATAATTTAAAAATAGTCAAATTAGTTAAAATAAATAATTAAAAAAAATAGTAAATTAAAAATCATAGTAATAATAATGCGATTGCAATATATAAGTATAGAATAGATTAAAGAGGTATTAGATTAAAGAGATTAAATAGATTTAATCTATTCTGTGATATAAGTACGAACGGATATCGAACAGGTATTTGATGAGTCCAGATAAAACATACTATATATGTGTACAGAGCGAATATAAATTCCTACACGATAGAAAAAGGTACATATGTAAGTTCCTACACGGTAAAAACTAGGTAAAAAAAATAATATAACCAACGCCACGTATTTTAATTTATTTTTATATGAATGATGTTTAAAAAAATTAAAATCTTTTAAAACCAGCAGTTTTTTGCCTTTTTCACTCAACATGAATGATGAATGAATTCTCGCTCATTGTGACTGATATATATGGATATGTATGGACACACGGATGATTCGAACAATACTAACAATACTTTTAAGCTAGATGTACATTTTATGGTATATCGTTATAACAAATTATAAGATTATCAAACCAAAATCAAGTTCTGTATCATTTTTATCCTTCGTAATAATAAGATATTTTATCTTTCCTCCGTCAAGTCGGGATATTATTATCAGTCTGTAGCTTGTTATATTTTTCCGTAATTTCATGTGCGTTTTTCAGATACTCTTATATACTATACTCTATATATTATATACTATACTATACTCTAATATAGTATTTGAATGTTTCAAAGTTTCGATAAGAAATAACCCAACTTAACGATACGCCTGTTGGTCCTGTGACACTTCTATACATTGTTTTTTTTAAGATTTTTATATACATATTTAATTTTTTCTGCTGTATAGGAACTAACGTATGTAATTGTTTACCTGCTACTATCGTGGAGGAACTTATTATTCCTCTGTGTACACTGCAGACTATTCAGATAAGCTAGTATTTGGAGAAAAACCAAATTAATATTATAGTATGACTTATATATAATATTAATATCAACCATTATTATGTTTAAAATAATTTTTATAATACAATCGGCGATATCGCAGATTAATTTTGTGCGGAATTGTGAATCGCCGATTTCAATGAGGAACACTTCTAAATGGTACTAACTTTTGACAATCCAACGCCTATTTTTTGGCAAGATGGATGGCGAAAGCCAATTACTGCCTAAAAATAATTGTTTATACAACAATATAAATTATTACCTAGGAAAGAATTGGTAGTCAAATAAATATGATGTTTTATTTTTACATGTTATGCAGAACACTGGTTTAACTGCATGAATGCTATTAAGGTGCCATTAAATTATATTATTCTTCCAAACAAATTAGTATCATATAAAAATATTAATAAAAAATAGCGAACGTAGCGATCAAGAAATGTATTAATAATCATTTATGGTATTTAAATTTTGAATGCATCTTATTATTATTTGATGAATGAATTAAAATTAAAAAAAAGAGAATTTTAAATATTTTAGAAGAAAATAATTATGATATAGAACCTCAAAAAAATTATCATTAAAATCATAAGAAATAAAAGATTTTTTAAATCGTGATTTATCTACAAACTTGGTTAGACCACTTATATATAGTACATTTTCTTAATTCAATATTTCTAATTTTTACAAGTAGTTCCACTTGAATGATAACTATAAAAAAGCTCGATCAATATTAATTTTATTAAAGGTAAATAACGACATAGCAGAAAGGAATTTTAAATTCATGGAATAATTTAATCAAAGGTCGACAAAAAATGAATACCAAAAGCAATATTTATAAAAAATTTGTACTTGTATATTTTAGTTTTTACTATGATATTAAATAATTTAAAAATATAAAATAATATAATAAAACTAATTTTTCAGATTGTCCAAGACTACAGAAAAATATACCCCTCATTTAGCCGACAATGTCTATGAAATGTAGAGTAAAAATGAATTTAATATTTTAATAAATTACAAATATTTTTTAAATTGTTTTTTATTTCATACGAAATAATGGATTAAATATAATTTTTATAACAACACTTTTTGTAGACAGTATGTTTCTTT